TGAGGGACTCCTGAAGTAACATCAATGACGTCAGAGATAGTATTTTTAAACATTACCCTTTGTGATCTATCATAGAGGTATGAAGAGATCCAATGTAGAAAATTAGGTGGAAGAACAAGAAGATCAAGTTTATAGATGAGCAACGAGTGGCACACTTTGTCAAATGCTTTACTGAAGTCAGTATATATAACATCAACAGTTTTGCTTTCACTAAATATATTTGAGATATAGGATGTTAATTCAAGTAAATTTGTAGAAGTTGATTTGCCCTTGCAAAATCCATATTGACTATATGAAATGCTAAAAGAGGTAGAATGCGTCAACTGATTTCTTATAATTGCTTCAAAAAATTTAGGAATTGCAGAAGGCTTAGCTATTCCCCGGTAGTTCTCCACTGAAGATCTGCTACCGCTTTTATGTAACGGCGTTATAAACGATTCCTTCCATATAGTTGGAAATATGCCCTCTTTAATAGCCCGAACACAATGAAAACGACGAGCTACGGACCACAGCTGTCAAATTATTTTAACACGTACTCTTATGTAGATAATTATTTTGGCGACGACCGGGCTACGCGACGATTGTGGTTGTGGCCAGATTAGATCTATTTCTATTTTAATGGCGACAGATAAGGTTCTTCCTCTTCTTTTATGTCAAACTCATACAAATTCATGATGTCGCTGCCGCGTTCAAAGAAATCATGTCGCCATCGACAAAGCGCTTAGATAATAAAGATGACAAATTGGAAGCTGTGGTCGGTAGCTCGTCGTTTTCAATGTGTTCAGAACTTAAGAGACAAATTAAATAACACTGTTAATGGCTCATAGAGATAATCAGCACAATTTATAAGAATACAAGTAGGGATCTGGTGAGGACCACAACTGATGTGCTACTTTAAGGATTTCAGATAAACTACTACATCATCGGGAGATATTACTGGGATATTTATTGAGTTCATTAGACTTATGTTTAAAAGGATAGTCAATGTTAGCATGTGAGTTAATGGAATAATTGGATTTAAAAAGCTGAGCGAACATGTTAGAAATTGTTTGATTATCAGTAGAGACGGTATTTTGATACTTCATTGCGGAAGGAAACCCACGAACATTTCGCTTGGAGTTTACGAAGTCAAAAATGATTTGTGGTTATATATTATTTGCCATTTGATTTTACACAAGTAAGCTTTATAACACTTTTTATTTTACATGGTATGAGTGTAAACCGGTTTTTTTGTGTAATCTAAAATAACGCGACTTTCTGTTTTTCAAATTTCTCAGTTCTTTAGTGAACCATAACTGTGTTTTTTCTTCAGGAACATACATGCGTTTAGGCACATGCTTTTCAAATAATTTATATAAAGTAAAGTTAAAAAGTGCAACACTTTGTTCAATATTTTCTTTATGCGCAGGCCACGACAATTTAGACAGTTCTTTGTTAAGCATTTTAATGTTGGCTTTCGAAAAATCAAAGCGAATATTTGGTTCGTATGCTTGGGTACTGCAATTTTGACCATCACTTACTATAACTTCGTAAGATACCTCCATAGCAGGGTGGTAGACATCTTCGAGCAAAACTAGTGGATCACGCTTATTTACAACGGACTTAGATGCATCATCAACATAAACAAGATCTAATACTTTACCAAACTTATTGTGAAGTACATTAACCTGAGCTAGGCAGAGTTTAGCCATCTCCTCTAAAAATAAGTTGTTGCACGCACTAGACGCAAAAGGTACGATATCATTATCAATGATTTTCCATGATATGCTTGGTAAAATAAAATCACCCAACACAAACATTGAATCAGTGCGTTTAGTCAGTAAATTAACTGATTTCAGTAAAGATATGAGTCGTGAATACACCAATGTGTAAAGTAAATAGACCCTTTTCCAGCCTGTACACGAATGCATTTGAATTCTACTGAATCAATGTGCGAAAGACTAACTTCTTCAGATGGTATTGAAGAGTCTACAGCGAAGAGTACGATACCGCCGGTTCTGTCCTCCCTATCTTGTCTATAGATATGATAATTATTTGGAAGAATCTCTGAATTGAAAACGTGAGGTTTCAGCCAAGTTTCAGTAAAAGAAAGAATATTATTATTACATTCAAGGCCTTTAAGGTATAAGTTCGTTAATTTAGTATTTAAGCCTCTTACATTTTGGTAATAAATACTTAAAGCAGATTTAATAACTGGTTTTTGATTCAGTGTTATGACGGGGAATATTAGCTAATTTATTTACTTTTTTGGGCCTATATTCGAATTCACGAACGAAAGCTCCGGGGGGCCAAAAAGAACTACTAAACAGCGCTTTAAAACTATCTAAATTTACGTCAATTTTAAATGAAGCAATATTTCTCTCGTATTTAAAATTAAATTTTCGGATGCTTAAGTCGATAGTTGTAATTTTTGATGAGATATAAACCTTTGTATCGTCTTCGGTAGTGTCTCTCGAAAATCTAGAAACAAAAATTGACTTCTTTGGCGGAACCACAACTAATTTCCTTGTATCAGACTGGAGTACCGGCGGAAGGGGTTGAGTTACTGCGTTAGTAGTTGAGGATAGGGAAGGCGGTGGAGGCTTTGAAGATGATGCCACCACTTCAGTGGGGGAAGGGGAAGATACTTCAGGCTCGTTATTATCCGAAGCAGATTTCGTTACACGCTCTTTTGAGGCTGAGGATTCTGATGCTGGAGGACACGGAGAAGATGGATTAATTGAGTCAGTCGGCAGATTATTCTGACGTGCGACGGCAATAATTTCCTTAGATGGATTATGAAGACGCTTACGTTTAGGCACACGGATATCCTTAACAGATTGCAAGATATCTAAGCATTTGAATGCTTTAAACGAATTTTCATAATGCTTAAATTTTTCTGTCAGTACCGACAATTCTCTTCCTATTTCTGTAAAACCATTTCCGGTTTGCCTAAATAGCTTGAAAAGATCAACTTCGGTTGACCTGCACTTTACGCAAGACCAGCGAAGGCCCTTGCCATCATTAATAGCGTCCAGAATTCTTCCCGTCAAACCAGCACATTTCAGATGGTAAATACCATCACACAGCCAGCACGATAAGTAGCGTTCAGAATCGCTTTTAATTTGGCAAGTATCAAGATCGCACTTCATATTGAAAGGTTTATGTAATAACACTCGGTAATAAAATACAAACAAAATAAATTATAACAATTAAGGAGCTGATGTATTTAATTAGCTTTAAATAAATATAGCGAACAGTTTGAGTATCACTGTAATTATGACACTTAATAAACGCAACTAGAAGAAGTAAACAAAAAGAGTAGAACAAATGTGCAAAAACAAAATGAATTCAGTTAACCTCAAAGGATACAACAACAATGATAGCAGCAAATGACTCGGCAAGATTAGAATGTATGCTAGTGAAATTTAATTATTTTTTATTTTTTTTTTTTGTTTTAGCACAATAACTTAGCAAGTAGAAAGCCAAAATCAGAGCACAATAAAATGCAGCCTCACAGCTTGACGTTTGCGATTAGTATTGAGAGGGGTGGACGGGTGGTCTAGGACACCCTGCATATGTTTCTGTTTAAAACAATAAAATCTAAAAGTTAAAAGGAAATTTAATTAAGAAAATGAAAAATAATTCCGCTGCCGAGGACTCGAACTCAGATATCTTAAAGGACACGCCGGTGCTTTGCTTATTCGGCCACTGCGACTGCTGGAGCAGCGCGAGCAAATAAAATCCAAATGCTTTCTGTCAAAAGAGCTAAAGAGCTTTTCACCATCAAAGTTGGCAAAGGAGCTTTCTTTGAAAGACTTTCAAATTATCTTGCCCAATGTCTTTCAATTGTCTTACAAATTCCTTTGAACTATCTTAGCCAGACACATCCTTTTTATTAATTCATGGGAAAATTTGATATAGTTATGTAGATCGAATTATTAAAGCTTTGAGTGCAGAAGTCCCCGCGTCTGGGGAAAGCTGAAACACACCTTCAACGAACCTACTGGGCCTTGAAGTGTTCAGGAAAAAGTTGCAGCGGAAGATTTAAGGGCTTTTGCGCATTGGCGACGTTGAAGCTATGAGCTGTTTGAGCTTTTTAAGCTAATTAAAATACAACGGCTCCACTGGCTCGGCCATGCCGTACGGATGGACATAAACACTCCAGCTCTGAAAGTATGCAAAGCGGATCTCCCTGCTAGTAGCAAGTAGATGCAAAGTCCATATGGATAAGGATTTGATTTCACTTGACATTTCCAATTGGCGCAGAGGCGAAACGACTGACGTGCTGTTTTAGACTAGGCCAAAATCACTTAGGCGGTTACAGTGCCAATCAAGAAGAAGAAGAATCTGATAAATCATGTAGTTCATTAAAGAAATTAATTTCACCATACGAATCGAAAAAATTTGTGAATCTCTTTGCAAACGCACCAATCGAAAAATTTTTGTGTTTTCAAAATTTATTAAATTATTGCATTTAGTGTAATATATAGTAAGCACTCTGGATATTAGTAATCCAGGCGATGAAAGCAGAGACACGTGTATAGACCGATGGTAAATTGGAAACACCACATGGAATGTATCCCCAGGATACAATACCGATAAGTTCAGATGGTCCGCCATTGATTTCCTTCACCAAAGGACCACCAGAGTCACCGTTGCATGCAGATATGCCCTTCTGCAAGGAATCTGAGCAGACATTGGTTTCGTGGAGAGGAGCACCTTCAGGCAGAGTTTCCTTGCACTCGTTCCACTCGACGACCTCAGTTTGAACTGTTTGCAATGTCTGGGCTGCAGTAAATATGTACCACTTTGTTTGTCCCCAACCATAAAGATGAGTCTCTCCGCTGTGGATCTCTTCTCGGTGTGGCAAGCTTGCTGGTTGTACTCGTTCGTTGAATTCAAAGGGCTCGGAGATGTGCAAAATGGCAATATCGTAAGGTCCCACACTACCGCTGTAACTTTCGTGAACTCTACCAAAGTCAACTACACGTGATTGTGTATTCTCATCAACTTGAGAGCGTTTTTGAAGACCAGCAATAACTCCCATTCCAACGGCAGTAGCAATGCAGTGACCGGCGGTTAAAATCCAGTCCTTGGCAATAATTGTGCCACCACACTTGTGAGAATGACTGCTAGCACTGGAACTCAACGATACAATGTAAGGGGCAGATTGTGGCTCAGCATCTTCGCCGTTAATGATATAGCCGGTGGCAAAGCTGGGAATTAGATTCTTGAATTTGTCAGTAAGAGCCGATGCGTTGGCACACGCCAGGAAAAGAGCAAACAAGAAAGAGACCTTCATGTTGGCGAAATAAATTTTAACTATTTTTTAAATGAAAAAGGAAGGCTTTTTATATGCATACAAAAAAAAAAACTAAATTCCCAATCACTATGTATATTGTTTTAACTTATCGAATTGCTTCAATGAAAGCACGATCAACTAGCTGATTATTCTATACTTAATCCGCTACGTGCAGATGGTTTATGGAAGTAATAAACTAATTACGATTAGCTTCTTATCCAACAAGTAATTTGTTAATGTAGCGAATTAAAATAACGGCTCATGAAACCGATTAGGTCTACGCTATATCCCTGATAAGAATAGTATTTTATAGTAGATTTCCAAAAAAGGAGGAGGTTATCAATTCGTCGGAATATTTTTTTTTGTTTTTTGTATGTAGTTTACCGCATAACTTTGGACCACGTCAACCGATTTCGATAATTCTGTTTGCATCGGAAAGGTAGTGTCTCAGAGGTGGTCCCATACTAATCTGGTTTGGATCAGATCATCGGATCATGAAATATATATATATATTTTTGTATGAGAATTGAGGTCGGTTTTTTTTTTGCTAAAAACTTCTTGTTTACTTAAAAATTACTTGTTTCAAGTTATTTTCGCAGAGTGCTTATCACTGGAAATCGAAAATATATGTGCATATTATGCACATATTATGCAGTTCAGACCATTGCGTAATGGATGTTCTTTGTATCGAAACGCGTGTATTGGCGGCAGCGCACTTTGTACTCAGCGCACTTTTGATTGAACAGTAATATAAACTTTCATTTAAATTTTCTTCTTTAAAAAGGATTGAGTAAAAGATTTTACAATTTAAAATACACCCCGATTTCGCATTTCTTTTTCCTTCAAAACCGGGCTAATATCTGATCAATTCTGAAGAATTTTTTTCGTTTTGAATTTTCTGATTTGTTCCCTATAAACTCCGGATGAATGAAGGCGTAAAAAATAGATACTTGCAGTTATTGGTTCCAGAGAGCGAGCTGGTTCTGTGCTGGTTAGAAAGTGTGATCCCAGGTAGACAATTTAAGAGGAATTATTGCGATGATTACACCTCTTCGTACTCCAAGTGAAGTCCAATCGAACATTGTCTTATCAGTTACATGTCTAGGCTTTCGCCCAGCATTCGAGCCCATCTGTCTCTCTTTTCCCTGTTGGATCGAGTCGAGCGGTCCTTGCTTGATCGTCTCACATGCCACATTGTTCCACGCAATATCAGACACAACCGCAAGAGGGTTCAGGCATTCTCCAACTAGATTTCAGCGCACTGTGAGCGAGCGCCCAAGTGTCTAATCCGCTTGGCTATCCGAGTAAATAGATACATACTTCGTTAGGCAAATGAAGCCTCCATTTGGATGGAGAAGACAGCTTGCTATATCAATTTGCTTTTAATCAAATCTTTAACATTGGATAGTACACTGGTTTCCGAACCAGTCACGTACCTATTGAGCTCCTACGTTAATAAATTTTCACTTTTAGGAATCGTACTTCAATATTGACATCTGTACAGCAGCTTCTAAATATGTCCAGCTGAAAATTATACAGTGAACTTAACTGGAAAATCGATAGCGAGAATAACAGCGCCACGCTGAATTTTCTTCCATCTATGTTTAATTGTATTTCGCACTCACAACTTTTTTGTTTCTATAAAATATTCTGCTTTTCTAAAAAAAAATAAATTCCTTTTCTCTCTTTCCAGCTGGTCGCACACAACCCTGGTGGTGCCGTAACAATCGTAATGGTGGCTCCAATGGCCGTTCTACACTCTCCATTAAGCATCCCGCCGATAGCATACGAAGGCGTCCGAATAGTAACTCTGGTGTTTGGTCGTGGAGTCGACGCTCTTCAGCCAGTCCCGATCAAATCGGTCCACCATCCTCATCACCCGCCGAAAACCATTACACACACATGGATGACGCATATAGTCCGGTTAATGAGGCACTGTATGCTGAATTAGACCGCGAATCGGTACGTTCAGGAAATCCGTCTTATCAAAATACGGCCTACAGTCAGTGTGGTGAGGTGAGTTAAGGGAAATCTTTAGAACTCAGAGGGGTTATATGTTTTGGTGATTATTGTCACGAACGAACGAAATTGTTTAAGCAGTGGGGAATAGTAGTAAAGGATTGCCACACGAATATCTATTACCTTGCAAGTTTATGTAGACATATTTGAAAGTATTTCGGAAAACTGGAACTAAGTACTTTTTTTTTTCTAAAGGGAAGAGATAAGAAAGCGGAAACATAACCTATAAATTTATAAGTCATCATTACAGTCTCACCTCATAAGATCGAAGAACTTTACAGCTTACTTACTGTACAATGAACGGTATATAGTCAGAGTCTTTTTGTGTTAGTTCCGACAAGCAACTAGGATATGGGGGGTTAATGCCTAGAGTGGTTGTGGTGCGAGGACTCCTGTTTCACCCCAAATCTCAATTTGATCGGCTAAAATCGTTTAGGCGGTTACAGCGCCTATACAAAAGAGAGCAACTTCCTAGCACGACGGTGAGTACTGTACCGCTGTGTAGGTTGTTCAAACCTGACAGGTAGTCGTCTCGACTCAGTTGGTTGTGTGCGGGATTATAGTATCTTCTTCCAGCAGACTTAGATGTCTCCTCAATGGACGCGCTGATTTAGTTTTGCCGAGGAGGAAGCATTTCGACTGAAATAATTTGTGATCATTTACCAAAAGTGAACAGTGAGTACATTGGGAGAACACGCCTTGACTAAAGTAGGCGAAAAAACTTCTAAGAGACTACAATCCCAAGAGTTGTAGGGAACAAACCACCTTCCAAAAGACAAACCTTAGTACTGCTAATAGCACTGGTCGACGGCCAAAATTTACCAGAGACGCCGTTATGAAATTCGTATGTAAAATCACCCCCTGATTCCGAAAATCAAGGTTATTTTTAATTTTATGGTACCGTTTTTGAGATATTTGCAATTTACCGTTTTTGCAAAAAAAAAAAAAATTGGGTCCACTTTATCATATATATCTCAAGAACGAATTAAGCAATTCCAAAACGGTTTGAAGCTTTTAAAAGGTAATAAAATTTTCTATAAACTGTGCATACAACACTTTTTGCTAGGCCCTGTAGATTCAAAGATAACGAACAATCATTACCGATTTTTTCAATTTTTTTTGTAAAAATATAAAAAAAATTGTACTTTGCGGGGAAGGATCTCGAAAACCTTTTATTTTTTTGCAGATTTTTTTTTTCTCCCTAAGCTCTGTTGTATTACAAAAAAAATAAGCTATCATCGAAGAAAATCGATGCAAAACTACGTAAGTTATAAGCGATCAAATAAAAATACCCAGGTTGCGCAATTTCAACGTATACCTCAAAACGTATGTATGGTATAAAGAAGAGTGAAATATCTAGCTATGCTCTGTTTCTATTGAGTTAAAAGTTCAATTTATGAATGAAATTACCCATATTTTTAACTTTTTTTTTAAATTTATTTATGTTTATACTATATTCTAACAATCTTTATCTTAATTTGATTTTACTATGTTGTCGAAATAATTATGTGTTCTACTTTGACGCTTATTCAGTTTAGGATCGGTTTCTCTTATGAGAAACCAGCAGTAATCACCCATCATTGCGACGTCCCAGAATCCTTGATATCGATTCTCAATTAATTTCATTTGCTGATGAAACCTTTCGCCATGTTCATCACTTTCGTCGCCAAGATTTGCCGGAAAAAAGCTCAAATGTGAGTGGAGAAAGTGAATTTTTAAAGACATATTTACGCCCATTTTCGCATAATTATTGATTAGGTCGTTCACTATCTGCTCGTAGTTAGGGCTTTTGTGTCTACCGAGAAAAGAAGCAACGACCTTTTCAAAGGATTCCCACGCTGCTGCCTCAACTGATGAGAGTAGTCCTTTGAATTGATTATTGTTGATCAACTTTCTTATTTGTGGTCCAACAAAAATACCTTCCTTTATCTTGGCTTGAGAAATATCTGGAAAAACTGTTTTCAAATAGTCGAATGCTTCGCCTTCTTTGTCCAAAGCCTTAACAAAGTTTTTAATGAGACCGAGCTTGATGTGTAAGGGTGGAAGTATGATTTTCTCTTTCTTGACAAGAGGGGTGTATTTGATGTTATCCACACCAACGGTAAACTCGACTCTTTCCGGCCAATCCTTTCTGACGTAGTGGTCCTTACGAGCTCGGCTATCCCACTTGCAGAGGAAGCAGCAGTGCTTGGTGTAGCCACTTTGTAGACCGCATAGCATTGCAACGACTTTGAGATCAGAACATATTTTCCAATCATGCTCTTCATATTTGATAAATTTGAGTATTTTTTGCATTTCCTCGTAGGTTTCCTTTGTATTTACTGCATGTGCAATCGGGATAGAAGGCTTTTTGTTACCAATATGCAATAATACAGCCTTCAAACTCAGTTTATTGCCGTCTATGAACAATCGCCACTCTTTTGAATCATATGTTTGACCAAACTCTTTGAATAAACCAGGGATGTCGTTGCAGTAGCATATACTGTCTTTCTTGGTATAGTGTTTGGAAAATGGTTCGTGACGAGTTCTACTATATGTCACCTTAACATCGGATGACACAAATTTAAATTGTTGCATACGAGAAGTGTGGATCTCGGCCTTTTCCTTGGATAGTTCCAAATCTCTTATCCAATCATTAAGTTGTGCTTGTGACAGAACGTTTCTTTCGTTTTCCATGCGAAATTCAGTACAACTTGATCCCCCGCACTCAGATGTTACTGTTGACAATGGAACTGGATCCGCAACTGCCGTTGAATGTAGTACTGGTAATGTCACTGTAGGTACGCTAGCATAGGTTACTCCTCTTGATCTTCCAACGCCAAGTACTTTTGTTTGACAAATATAACACTCTATTGAATGGCAAGTAGGTTCTCTCCATATCATTGGTGTATCAAATTTTGTTTGTTGTCCTGATTCCCACTGAATCAATTCTACTCGACACGATGTACACAAAGTGTTCGGTGTCCATGGTTTTTCAGCATTTTTAGGCTCAATTCCAAAATACTTGGAGTATAAAGTTTTGATATGATCTGAGAACACTCGTCGTCGCCTTATGATAGTATATTGGCCACACATGAAACAGAACATATCTGGATCCTTATTACACTCAAATTCTCGCGTCCTTTTACTCATTTTATTTTTTTTAATAAATCACGGTTTTGAAATTAGACTTATGAACTGAACTATCTCCGGCGAGCCTTGAAGATGTTATGAAGTTTCAAAGCGCATTAACTCATATTTATACTCGGAACAAGAATAAAATTGAAAAAATCAAATCTTACCTAGACAGAAAGGTTCCTTTTTATAACAAGCCGGGAAAAGAAAATACTACCTGTTTTAGATGTAGGCTTTAGAAATTTTCTGTGTCTTATAATTTTGAAAATCTACCTGCATACTTACCCATAACTGACGGAAATACATGTTTATAACTACATGCCTACAGCAGGTTTCGAACCCAACCACTCTTCCTTTCGATGCAACCACTCTACCTACTATAATACAATTCGAGTATTAAAAGTACTATTTGATTTATTTAAAGAAAAAGTGTTATCATTGTTATGGTGTTATTCGTTTATCCGGATAATATCTCACTTGCACTTTATACCTTTAATATATGTATGTATGTATAGGTACATACATTGAAGTTGCGCAACCTGGGTATTTTTATTTGATCGCTTATAACTTACGTAGTTTTGCATCGATTTTCTTCGATGATAGCTTATTTTTTTTGTAATACAACAGAGCTTAGGGAGAAAAAAAAAATCTGCAAAAAAATAAAAGGTTTTCGAGATCCTTCCCCGCAAAGTACAATTTTTTTTATATTTTTACAAAAAAAATTGAAAAAATCGGTAATGATTGTTCGTTATCTTTGAATCTACAGGGCCTAGCAAAAAGTGTTGTATGCACAGTTTATAGAAAATTTTATTACCTTTTAAAAGCTTCAAACCGTTTTGGAATTGCTTAATTCGTTCTTGAGATATATATGATAAAGTGGACCCAATTTTTTTTTTTTTTGAAAAACGGTAAATTGCAAATATCTCAAAAACGGTACCATAGAATTAAAAATAACCTTGATTTTCGGAATCAGGGGGTGATTTTACATAAGAATTTCATAACGGCGTTTCTGGTAAAGAGAAAAAGTTGAAGTTTGTGGTCCAGTGTAGTTAATTGAAGCCTACAGGCCCATATCAACACCCAGGGGATTAGTGTAGGCGATTGCTGTCATTATTGCGCCATGGGAGCAAAAAATCCCACGGCATCTATTTTTAGAATACGATGCGGTTGCGGAAAAAAGACTAAGGCTAGAAGCATAGTGGAGCGCCGAGCGAAGAGCATCGAGCCAAGCGTCGTTTACAAACCTGTTTGTTTCAATAGAAGCGCGCATAGTGAAGAGCAAAGCGTACAGACACGTTTGTAATCGAGGCTACACTAAGTGCTTACCCTAACACGCCTGGGAGTGTTGTGGGCAGAGGTTAAGCAGATTCACTCACTGCCGCCCTCGAAAGTGCTTGGTTTCATTAGAGCACTAGAGCTGGACGAAGTTTTGTTATGAGCTCTGAGGGCACCCACGCTCGAAGTGCACATCCACAATCTAATTTATCTGTCTAGACTCTAGACTGATTCGCCTGTTTTTAACTTTTTCACTAGCTAGCAATCAGTTTTTTTGCAAAAGCAATAGATCAATCGCGAAAACTCCACACTCATTGAACACTTGAGAAAATAACAGCTACCAAATATAATAAACTAGCATTTAAAAAATTCTAATTCTCTTTCTTTTTTTTTCAGAAATACAATTTTCAACAACATGAACAGGACATTCCCATGGTGGTGTCATCGGCGCCCAGTAGCGCCTATTATTCCGACCTCTCGGTGACCGGCATGCCAGGCGGCGGCAATGAGCGTGCCTATGAAATTGTCGGTTTGACGGTTATGTCGCAGCCGCTGCCCAATTGGGATGGCAGTGGTGGCGGTGGCGGTGGCGGTGTTGGCGGAAGCAGCGGTGTCTTAGGCATAGGCGTTGGCGGTACTATGGGCATGGGACTCGGCAGTGTTGGTGGCGGACCGAATGAGGCTTCACAGCGACGCATACCACGTTTGGCAGCCATAAATGAGACAAGCACCAGCACTGTGGTGGCGACAGTTCCCTCAGATTATGTATGAAATTTGGAGGATGAGAGACATAGCGTGGCAGAGGAAGGTGTATAGCGATTTTAAAATGTTATTAAATTATATAGTATACATATATGTATGTACATACATCATAGGAATATAGTATGTACATACAGTGTACAGTTATTTCGGTGGAGTTAATAGCAAGTTAATTAAATGTTATTTAAATAAGTTAGTGAAAGTGATGGTTAGCAGCACCTGTAGCAAACCAAACACAAAAAAACGACAGCAACAACAATTTTGGTGTATACAAATGCGGTGCAAAATGTGCCGTTTATGAAATTCAACGAGCTTATGTAAATTTGTTTAAAAAAAAATAATTAAATTAATTTTTGTATTATCCACAAACTGTTATAGCAGTGCGACTCTTAAAAAAGCAACAAGCGCTTTTGTGTGCTATTTATTTATATATATACGCACGTAGTATGTGTGCGGGTTTTCTGTTAGATACTTATATATATGTACATAAATATATATAGTATATGTATCTAAATATGAAGTAATGTTGTATTAAATTTTGCCACATGCACGCACGCATGTACGAATATTCTTATTTAGAAATTAAATAAAAAAGTAAAAATAAATTAATTATACTCTGTAATTATTCTATTGTAATTGATTTAGTAAGTAAGCTTGTTAAGATTTAACGATTTAATCGTTGGTGATATTTAGCCTAAATATTTAGAAGCGTTGATGTGCGCTATTGAGGCGTGCATAGGCCACATCGGAATGTAAAAGCTGTAAATAACTCGTTTACTAAATGCGTGGCAACATTTCAAATCTATGTATACACACCTTTCGAGGATTATCTATTTAAAAGAATGCCAGAGTTAAACATTATTTAATGCATATTGACGTTCTTTAAGGACATAAACATAACATGAATATAGAATATTTATAGAAATGCTATATGTATGTAATATCTATTAGATCTTAAGTATGAATGAATTTAGTGCGTAATATGAGTTAAATTTAATTTGTGTATGTAAAATAAATATTTTAGTATAAAAAAAGGCATAAATAAAATATTGTATTTAACTGCAAAAAGTAAATTATTTACATATGTATGTATGTATGTATGCACATAGTTAGCACTCGAATTTTCAGCACTTGCACTTTATGTTAAATTTTAATGTGCTATACAACTGCATACCAACATTTTTCATAAAATTTCGATTAAAAAGTTTTTTGATGAAACTTTGTTAAAGTTTCCTAAGTTTTTTATAAAAAATAAATAAACAGCAAATAAACTAAAGAAAAATTATCACAACTTGCTAAAATCTAGTAAACTGAACTCACTTACTTTTTTTATTTTTTTATTTTTTGCCAAACAAAATTTTTGCAGTTGTACATACATATATATATACAGCTGATTTGATTCGCCTCGTTACACGTTTGTCAAAATTGCTTATGAGTGAGTGAGAAAGTGAGTGTTTCCCCTCCTGCCTTGAGCGAAGAATAGCTGAAATTTGACCTTGGTGTACAGAAAGCAAAAACAAAATACGTGTAAGTTTTTTTTGTACTACCTATACCACCTTATGTGAATTCGCCTTGGTATGTATGTACATATATCCCAGGGAAGCCGACTCGTGGGGAATTCCCCGATTTGCGGGGAGTTTCAGTTTGCATCGGGGGATGAACTGGTTTTTTGTGAGGAATTAGGTATAACTAATTTTTTTCTTTTTTGCTTCATTAATTTCATAATGACATCAACATTCAATCATTTTCGTCGAGCTTAACTAACGGGAGGCCCAGGAAACGAGCTGTTTCAATGGGGTCGGACCAGAGGGTGAGGGGTGTTAGTTGAGTCGGATTGAGCTGGCATGTGAAGAGGTGGTTGGTGTCGTGAAGGGATTCTCCACATGCCGGGCACTCATTGGGGATATAATTCTCGAATTTTCGTTGTCGCATTTACTTTCCTATAGTGAATAAAACAATTTATTTTTATATGGAAGAAACCCGCAACAAAACTCTAAAAGGAAAATGTTTAGCCACTTGAAACTTGCACTTTATTATACTAGAACTGAGTGTGCTACAATACTGTATACCCAAAATCTTTCTAGGGAATCGAATTAAAAAAAAAGCTCGAAATTTTTACGAAAGTTTGATTTTTTTTTTAATATTGCATAAAAATTGAAACTTGGATTTATACGGTTTTTATTGGAGAATGAACTATATTTTTATTAAAAAAAAATAACTCAAATTAAAATAACAAAAAAAAAGTAAATGTGAAAACTTGTCAAAATTTAGTGCGACTAAAATTTTTTCGACTACTGTATGAATGTAAGTATTACATGTACATTTTTATTCTTTATTTTTTAACTAACTTTACAAAAGTTTGGTTTTATTTATGAGTACATAGACAAATTACATTTAGAAAAACAGAAAGACCAGCAACATATCAGAAGTCAATTTTTTTTTAATAAGGTGATATCTATGTGTGGTGAATTTTACGAAATTTCGAGCGAAATCGGGTAATTCTCAAAAATGAGTTGGCTACCCTGGTATATCCTTAGCTTTAGAATTTAAGTATTGTATTATGCCACTTTGCTCTATCCACTATGATAATTTCCTCGTAATTCTAATCTTCAAATATTTGTTCTTAAGTTAAATTCTATGTAATGTATAAAGCAAAACTTGTGTATAAAATATAGTTTATCATTTTTTAAGAAAATAAAATGAAATTTTATTAAGAAAAACTCGGCTCTTACAATTTAATCATCAGACAACTCATCTTAGGTCGATGCTGTGCAGACAAACTTTTGTTTGGCAAATTAAATGGCGGCTGCTTAGTTTGCTCTGAGGGGGTTACACCAAGTTTGTCATAGAGTTGCACGTTGATTGTGGTTTTTTATGCAAAATTTCTGCATAACACCGACCTTATACAACGGGTTCAATCAGCAAATCTTGAGTATTGTCTACTTCAATTTTGAGTGTTGTACATAAACTACCACCATTGACTTTCCGTTCTGGATGGTTTACCATCACCTCATTTCTTGCAAATTTCTTCGACGTTTTATTTGTTGTACATAAACTACCACCATTGACTTTCCGTTCTGGATGGTTTACCATCACCTCATTTCTTGCAAATTTCTTCGACGTTTTATTGCGCTTAGGCTGCTTTTGATGTGTTTTCATATGGTTACGCAATGCTGCTGGTTGTGTAAACCGCTTGCCACACTCGTGGCATACATTCGGCTTCTCCCCCGTATGTCTCATTTCATGATATTTAAGTGTATCGGGCTTGGCGAAGCTAAGATCACAATAGTGACATGCATAATCTTTAGCACGCTCATGTACAGTGCGCACATGCGTTCTTAAATTGCCAGCATTGTTGCAAACCTTTGTACAAAAAAGACAGGCCCACGTGCGCTTTAGCGTATGATAGTTTATGTGTGCCTGCAAATAAAAAGAGGATTATTTTCATTTATGTACAGTATTGCATGTCCTTACATTCAATTCGTTTTTCGTTGTTTTACGCATACCACAATGTGGGCACTCATAGTTTTTAATACCAGCATGACGCATGAGATGTATTTTTAATTGTTGTTTATTCGAAAATCGACGCATGCAGTTGGGCTGATCACACGCATGTGGACGCTCAGATTGGTCCTTATGTGTATAGCGGTGATCATTTAATTTTGATGTCGTTTTAATAGTTTACCGCAAATCTCACAAACTTGTGTTTTCAATTCAGGTTCCAATTTATGGCATTTTCGCTGATGCAAGACCAGTGTTGTTCTGTGTTTATACACTTTGCCACAACCATCTTGATCGCAAGCGTATTCCATACTCTGCCCTTCATGTTGATTAAGATGTTGAGAAAGGCTTTGCCAACGCATGAATGATTTACTGCAATCTTTACGAGGACAGGGATATGGTATAAGGCCTTCATGTTTACGTTTATGGGCAATAAGTTTGTGTTCCACAATGAAACGTGAGGGGCAAATATCACATAGATAAACAGTGCTTTTCTTAGTTTCGCCACTAGTTTTCGAAACGGCTGACTTGACCTTAAATAGATAGAAAGTTCATGCATATGTACTCACTAGCTTTTAAGAATATACATATACACATGTGTACACATTTTTGGAACTAAATTTAGTTTAAACTTACATGACTTAGTTTTTTCTTCTCCTTCCTTCCTGTGTTAACATCAGTTTGAAAAGCATTTTTATATTCATTAAATGATGAATTATTTCTGAAGCTATCATTTAAAACATCACAGTCTAAGGTATCTCCGTCCGAAACCAGCGCATGTTCTTTATTAATATTTTGCGCTAATTGGTCAGGTGTTCTTGGTCTGCTAGAAACATTTCGATTCGAATCACTAATTATTTTGGTATCTTCTTCTACAGTAATATGAACACTTTTTGGTGCGAGTTTAATTTCTGCATCATTATCCGCCATAAAATTAGCTTCATCTACCGTAATGGAGTAACTAGTCTGTCCATACCCAACTGATATAGGAATTTCATCTTCAAAGCCACATATCTCCTGAAACTGCTGCAGTTCTTCGAAGCGACGCAAGGATGCATAACACATTTCTTGAAAGTTGAAAAAATCGATGACTTTCTGGCAGCAACATGTACATAGATATTGAGAATATTTTTCGCTTGGATACATTTCTGATGAAATGCAAGCCGCGAATTTTCTTGCAAGTTCCGGTGTTTCGAAGATGTGCAAGCATTCATCATTGGTTAAATGTATCTCTTTAAGGCATGCTCGGCACAAACTGTTAGCTATGCAGAAGGACCCCTCCATGTTGATTGCGTAGTGCATCAAGTTAGCTAATAAGCCAGGTTATTCTCGCGATGTGTTATTAGTCGGTGCTACAGTTTGGTAGTTGCTAAATTGGAGCTGCAATAAAGTACGTGTTAAAGGAATTACGGAAATGTTTTACCCATTACATACACAATACCAATATGACTATAGATATTTCTTATTACGTTGGCGAAAATCCATCTATGTACTTCATCCAATTGGAAGGGTAGTGGGTTAAACTTTTATTCTGATTTAGGTTATTCTTGATTTTATAGAGATAGATATATTTTAGAGGACTTCTACTGAACGAAAATTCCTTTTATTTAAGAAATCAGCTTATAATAAACATAAACATTAGGTGTGTTTCTTAACATATCGTCAGCAATAGATGCGACCTTGTACCCAATCCGCGTTAACCTTCTGTTATGAGCCCTGTTTATAGGTTTGTTCGTCGAGCAAAAAGTTTGAAGCAAGGCGTATTTAACAAGGTGGTGTTGGCCGTATATAAGTAAAAAATTACACTAACAAATTATACGCTGATGTCCATACTGTCGGTGGTATGAGTTACAACAAACACATCATTTTGACGTAATGGCCTCCACGGCGAAAAAATCAGCTGTCGCCCCAACACCACCTTGTTTAAGGTCGGTGTTATGCAGAAATTTTGTTTGGCAAACTGCGTGCAATTGTTGTTGCAGCAAACTCGGAGAGAGCGAGTTTGACGACTCTCACAGCAAACTAATTTTGTTTGGTCAAACTGCAGCAAATTCGGTGTTGTCATATACAAAAATTTTAAATTTTGCGCGTTATGTACATCTGAAATTCTCATTTCGTGTTGGCAATAGCCATGAAAACCATAATGAACGTGCAACCCTGTGCCAAACTCGACATAACCACCTCCGAGCAAACTAAGCAGCCGCCATTTAATTTGGCAAACAAAAGTTTGTCTGCATAACACCGACCTAATACACCTTGGTTTGAAGAAATTTGTACGAAAGTGACAGTTCTCTTGGAGAGAAGTTGCAAAGTCTTGCTGGATAAATTTTAGCCTTGGCAGGGAAACTTGAAAGTTCTCAACACGAGAGAGAATTTGAGAGATTCTTTTCTTACTCTCTGATATTTTTGGAGTTGGACAGTGATCGGACGTAAAAATTCTGTGTTGTATAATCTGGAAAAAAAATGTGGTAGATTTCAAAAATATGTGGCAAATCTCAGGTTTTGGATCAAACTTTGTATTTAATATAAGTATAGCAAAGTGCTAGATTGAAGTTGCTAAAAATTGCATTGAGTTTTGGCAATTTTTTCCTTGACAGTGTAAAGCGGTTCCTTCCATATCAAATATTTTTCGAACATAAATTTTTTTGCAACCTTGCGGAGCGCTGTCAGCGTTTCATTCTATCACATCACTATGTAGCGAACAAATGTGGCACGTTAGGTCGGTGTTATACAGACAAACTTTTGTTTGCCAAATTAAATGGCGGCTGCTTAGTTTGCTCGGAGGTGGTTATGTCGAGTTTGGCACAGGGTTGCACGTTCATTATGGNATGAAATGAGAATTTCAGATGTACATAACGCGCAAAATTTAAAATTTTTGTATATGACAACACCGAATTTGCTGCAGTTTGACCAAACAAAATTAGTTTGCTGTGAGAGTCGCCAAACTCGCTCTCTCCGAGTTTGCTACAACAACAATTGCACGCAGTTTGCCAAACAAAATTTCTGCATAACACCAACCTTACAGAAACCGCTACTTGTGATTCACCGATTTTGACAATTCGAATTGTGCTCGGCCGATATCGGCTATATGCGGGCGATATAAATAAACACTTTTGATTATATGAGCGCTCTCACACATAAACCGATAACCGAACCCCTGCAAAAATCATTGGACCATGTAGTCTATTTGTGGGATATTGGAGCACTTACAAAAGTGTGCCTCTGTCATGCTGTAGCGGACCAACTCGTGTCTCTGCACCAGCTTATTGTTGCCCGATCACTGCTCGTGTTTTAAAACGAAATGTGATTGAAGTTGAGCATTTGAAAGCACATTTGCATGTCTGGCTATAGCTGAACGTGTAGAGATGGTCGCTGTTAGTTCTTAGCTCCCAGCATGTTCGGGTTCGAATGTCGTCAGAGGCAACATGTAATTTTTAATTTTTGTTTTTGGTTTTTATACAATGTAATTGGAGTATGTTGGAGTACTCTGATGTAATGCAGAGATGGAGTATATGGTCCTGCCCTAGGACATCGCAATGTTAATTGGACCATATTTTTTATATGAATTGTGGTTAATTTTGGAGTACTCCTTTGTCCTTCGGGAGTGCTCTTTACATGCATACATGGAGTAGACAGTGACGATAAATTCAAACTTATTTGTTTTTCTCGTCCGATATCAGATGAAAAGTATCAAAATGGACTGCGAAAAATTAACTTATTGGATGCCAAAACAAAAAAATTACATATAAATTCACATGTTTAGAGTATGTCAATTAAAATGTATCAAAATATTTCACTGCTTACAAAATTGGAATGAAAACTAGATTTGTGTGTACAAATACGTTCGGCAAATAATCTGGTTAAGTATGCGCAACAGTTCGGATGGTCAAATTGTTCGGCCGATATCAGTCGGTCTATCGGATGCAATATGCGCCTAGCGTAAGGGAGCCGATTTTGTCAAGAGGGAGCGAGAAAACTGTTTTTTGAGCAAACCTTTTATGATTGAATCATGGTTGGATCATGGGTTTGAGGTCACCTTAACACAGGGCTGCCAGACGTTTAGAGTATAAAATCCGTACACGGACAAAAGTGAGGATGAGATATGTGTAAAGAAGGAAAATTTTTACAGTGTGAAAACGACACTCCGAAAGGGGAAACTTTCCATTATGGCCATTCGTTAAAGGTGCGGTGAGCGAAGGGGGAGTGAGCGTGGCACCTCCAACCGACCTTTTTGGAGAGGGCATGAACCGCCATTGACAAAAATACAACACCCGACCTCCTAGGCCCCCTATGGTTACCTACGGACCCCTTAGAAAAATGGCCAAAAATCGCAATTTTTACTTGCGTCCACAGTACTTTTGCGTAGAATTCCTTTCTGCGTAGGCGGCATTCGCCCGCGCTTAGGGATTATAACCCTTACTACGTAGAATTCTCCTTTCTGTGTGACCTAACTGGGGCTACCGCCCCAGTGATGTAACCTTGGGAAAGGATGATTTCTTTTTTTTGTGATTTTTGGCAATTTTTCTAAGGGGTCCCTAGGGAACCATAGGGGACCTAGGTGGTCGGGGGTTGCATTTTTGTCAATGGCGGTTCATTACCTCTCCAAAAAGGTGGGTAAGTGGTGCCACGCCCACTTACCTTTCGCCCACCGCCCCTTTAACGAACGGCCATAAAGGAAAGCGCTCCCCTCCGAAAATCCGTATATTGAATCCGTACAACCATTTTCAACCCTGCAAATCCGTACTGTACGGAAAAATTCGTACATCTGGCGGGGCTGCCTTAACATCGATGGCATACATCGATATTATCGATATTTCAAAAACATCGATGCATCGTTTGCAACTCTTTTCAGGACAAAAATGTTAACTGGATAGGTAAACAACTTTTGTTTTGTGCATCCATCGTTGTGGCGTATCCATTTTTTAAATAAAACTTAAAGAAAATGAGATGCCAAGTTTTGAATTGTGGCAACTGCAGCAAAAGTAAAGGTCCCAACTTCAGCTTTTACACTTTTCCCACTGATGAAGCCTTGTCAAAAAAGTGGGTACAGTTCTGCCGTCATGATGGCTTCAACACGAAAACGAGTGTGATATGTATGGAGCATTTCAGAGAAGATGATTATCAAAATCTTATGCAATTTAATATGGGTAAATATCATTTACTGCAGTCTAATTGAATTAAAGCTAATAAACTTTTTAGGACTTGCCAAAAGACGATTGCTAAAGCGCGGGGTCGTGCCATCAATTTATGAGCGCGGGGCCGTGCCATCAATTCAAGAGCGCGAAACGTCTGCTGAGAGGTATCCACTACAAGATGAATTTAACGTGGATTACCTACTAGACCAAAATAATGGCGAAAGTAATAAAAATCATCACGTTTTAATTATTATATTACAAATTTCATTGGTTTACTACAGATGTTTTAAATGAATCAAACTGCCAATATCTGAAAAAGGAGATTAATATTGAAGATGTCTCGATATCACCTACGCATACCTCTTTCTATAACGACGACAGCCCGCAAGAAACTGACATTTTAAAAACGGAAATGTAAGTTAAACCGCAAAACTTAATTTGTACTTAAATGAAATATGTAAAAGTAATTTTTACTGCTTCATCATCACCAACATGTAGTTCTTACTATTACGACAACAACCAGCGAGAAGTTGCAGTTTTAGAAACAGAAATGTAAGTTACTATACCTCAGAACCGAATATACAAATAAGTTACATTTTTTTAGAGAGGCACTTAAGCGGGAAAATGCACTTCTTAAAAAGGATAATAAGAGCCAGCGGATCCAGCTCATGGATTTAAAACGACAGTCTAAAACACAGCTAAAGAGACATGCGTGGGAAATAGAGACGCTGCAAAAGCGTTTGGAATCAATGTCTAATGAGGTAAAAAATATGGAAAAAAAACTAGATTCCATGTTTACCAAAGGCCAAATAGCGGCACTGAAATCTGGTTCCAAAAACTGTAATTGGTCGAAAGAAGATATTGCCCATGCCGCTAGGTTATATGCTGCCGGACCGCAGGCATATAAGCTAATGTACGATCAAAATTTTCCGCTTCCTGCAATTAGCACACTTAAAATTCGCACAAAAGAGGTGGACATTTCCAATGGACAATAGCCTAGTTTTCAAAATTGCGGTCGTTAAATAGCCGCTTATCGCAAAAACTCAGACTAGACTGATTATATACTTTCCTGAATAATTTAAGTTTTGTGTGTTTCAAGGCACATTTTCATCAAATTAAGTTATTTTTTATAACATACATTTTACTATAACTCAAAGGATTTACATTACTCATATATGTATATTTCTCTTAAAAAATCTGACGAAATATACAAAATAATGTACATACATAGTTATAACTTAAGCGTTGCTGTTTCAGATGTAATAGCGTTGTAAAGGAAACTGTTGTCGATAGGTTTGTATTGTTTGGTTACAATTTTGATCACCTCTTGGGCCACACAACCGCCTATTTAAATAAAAATAATGTAATTTCATGCTTTGTTTTTAAAATATATGTAAATATTTACCAACAAAAGCCGAAATTGAATGTATCTCCGAGCCGCCGAAACGACAAATTTCATGTATTAAGTCATCGCTAATCGATGCGTGAACGCCCCAATCTGAAAGCATTTTACTGGCCACTGTTTTAAGCTCTTTTACATCGTTCTCAACATAACACTCTCCGGGCACATTACCACATTCAGACACAAAGCGTTCATATGCACGCAAAGCTACATAAAGCTCGCTAAGTGTGCCTTGAATCTCTAGATCATCAACTAAAAAATGGCGAGATATATAGTTTGTGTGAGTAATATGCTAATTTAACATAAATTGTTTTTAAACCCACCGATTGAAAGTACGTTGCTGCTTTTCGCGTTCTCATCGGAAATTTTTGTACCACGCATGACGGCCAGGCCGGCTGCTTCCCGACAAAATAGGCGGACCGTCTTTTCGCTAATTGTATCTTCGGGCAGTCCTAGCTCTTTTAAATATTTTTGGCATTTACGGTATACATTGTCTGCATCATTTAATGCCTGTTGACGATAAATGTTCTGTAAAGTTATATAAGGTTCTGTATCCGCTGTCATATCCGGTAGCACTCCTGGCAATGGTAATAATCCGTTGTTATCGTTTTCTACAAATTCTTTCAAAGCTTTAACCATAATCCAGAATGGGTTGCTCTGCTTGTTAAGATTTGTGCACGCATTTTCCTCAAAAATAGCTTTGATTGAAGCAGACACATTGCCACCACCTAGGGCTGTATTTACTGCTTTTATAGCTTCCTCGTAGTTTTCTTCATCGGCAGTCATAGCTAAAATTTCACAGTTGAGTAAATATGGTTATCATAAGCAAACATATCATATCACCAGCTCGAATCATTTCCCGCAGTTTGGTTTTTTGTTTAAAATTATTTGGAACGTGACCATTTGTCTCCTTCCATAACTGTAAGAATTTATTTAGCACCAACAGCCATGGTACTTTGCTAGTGACTTCTGTATTCTAAAAACCAGGGAGGAATTATTTACTTAGATACACATGCATTGGAGTCACAAAAATATTCTTAAATTACCTCGAAATGCTTCTTCAATGCAGGAAACGGTTGCTCTAACCGAAGGTCGTACTGTCGATTATCAGGATGTGATTCAATCACACAGTGTTCTTTTATTTGTAAACGTATAGATCCGAAAAATCCCAATGAACGGCAATAAATAAACGGAATGTTTGCTTCCCATAGACGTTCCGATAATCCTAATAAGGTCTTCTCATTGAGATTTGAAGCTACTACTACATCAAACGTATCAAAAAATGCAGGTCTATTCGATAATATCCAATCAACGCTTTCATCCACGAAATCGCCGTTGACATCAGTGTTTAATTCTTGAAGCAATTGCATACATGCTCTAGCTTTTGACTGGCCGATAAAAGAAGCATCCAAGAAGAAGCTGTTTAATAATAAAATTGTTTTCTAATTATTTATTTTTTAGCTAAGAACTTTTGAGTTCACATACTTTATTCCCAAGTCATCCTCTGTCACAACGTTACCATCAACAATACTAAAACCTCCTATGCCCGGCAAAACGAGACTTTTAAGAACTTCACACCCTAGAGCCGTTGCATTCAACAAGCAAATTGTGGAGCTCTCAAGCAAACTCTGACCATGTTCTCCCCATAAACGGATTTGTCGGTCATATTTCCTGCTTTTATCCGTTTGTTCTGGAGATTTTGGCGCCGGCGATGACATATTTGCAATTTTTCACTGCTGAAGGAATTGTAACAAAATAATCAGCTGATTTCTGCAAAGAAAAATACCAATTGTTTTTGGTATTGAGCGGCTGTCTGTTCGATGACCTGTTTGGAAATTTTTGATGATTGCTAGCATTTTGACCACACTCTCTCGAAATGATTCAAATGTCAAATAAATTTAAAATAAACAAATGAAAATGTATAATTTTAAAATTTATACATACATACACAGGCTTCTTCCACACGACAGCTCAGAAAGCGTTCCTTACGCCAAAAAAATGGGTAATAGAGAGCGAATACCATCCACTTGTGTATCTTAAATCTCTTCTTCTTCCAGCCCGGACTTTTTTCCCGGGCAGAAATGTACAAGAAGTCAATTTGAAATAACAGTTGTTTGTTTTAATCCGAAAGCAAATTTTATAAAACACATAAGAAAATACCACAGAAGTGCACCGGTCTGGACTGTAAAGATTATAAGAATATGGCATCGGTGGTCAAGAAGGAAGGGAGTGGAAATGTACCGCCTGCATAAGTGATGTTACTTCCTACGTATCGAATGACATGTCAGAAGCTGATTGTGGTGAGTCTGCCGCCGAAATCATTGAGGGCATATTTGAAAAATACTTCTTCCCGTTCAAAAGTGACATTCGGTTCTTTCCCGTACGCAACACGGGTTCCTGCGGGTGCCCAAAACAGCCCAGAAATCATTCCCGCACTCAATAAAATGGGTAATAGAGAGCGAAAATTGGAACGTATAGGATGCGTAAGTGTCTTCTTCTTCCTGCCGGAAACAGCCCGGACCTTTTGTCCGCGTAAAAATTGATAAAGGCTGCGTTTCTTTATACATTCCGGATAATCCCATTTCACAGCCGGAATAAACAGAATGCGTTTGAAATATACGTCAACATATCATCAGGAACGTTCTAAAGAATAAATAAACAAAAAAGTTTATTCCAAACGTTCAGAATGAATAAAGAAATGCAGCCAAAGTGTCAAAGTGCATATCAGCTGTTTTGTGTTTACATGTTGCCTGCATTCACTTGGTGCTTTTAAGGAATAGTGAATGGCCTGTTGATGTATTTTCAATTTTTATATACTTAAAATCAAATTTGTGAAATAAAAATTCAATTTCCAAGTTTTTTGCATTGAAATGACAAAAACAAAGGCAACGTGAATCAGCTGTAATTCATCATTTAATGATTTTCCATTAACGTTATGGCTTATACCATGTTCTGACCAACATCGAATACATGTTTTCGTTGCTAAAACTGGTTTTCGACCTAAAACTTGTGTTTTCGTCCATGTATAATCTTTCAAACGAAAACCAGTTTTCGCTGAAAACTACTTGAAAACTCACGTTCCACTCATTCCAATCGGTGTCTTCACTAGTTTTTTTCGATTATTTATCGAAGTGAAAGTCATATTTTATCATCTTTAATACGCCATTTCAGATTTATTGTTAATTGGCTGGCGAAAGTAAAATAAGAATGAAAATAAAAGGTTTTTTGTAGCAAAACCGTAATCAAAAGATGTAAGAGATGTCAACAAAAACATTAACAGCCGGTGTGAACAGCCTTCAGCCCACAATCCCGAAACTCTTTTTCAAATTGTTTTCGTTGTCGGTCAGAACATGGTATAAAGGACAATCGATGAACTATCGATTGCAATACAAACATTTTAATATTTATACTGATGAGGTGCTAACGTCGGTTGGGTAGATTTTTTCAGTCTGGTAGCTCTAAATGGAAACTTGGCCACACTGAGCACACGAACGTCTACGAAGCTGTCTTTTTTTAATGGCTGGCAATTTTTGTACTGAAGAATTCGACTTCGATTCGCTCGGAAGATAATACAATTTTTCATCAAAAATACATATAAAAGATTAAAAAATTGCAAAATAATTAAATTAACCTGTAAGGGCGTAGTTAGCGCGACGGATAGTGGCGGCCCAGCAATTTATTTCGCGTAAAGTACACTGGAAGGTGAGCAAGTTTTTCAATTTTTCAAGAACTAAAATTCCTCAAAGTGATGTGTTGGAGCAAAAAAGTCAATTCAAAGACGTAACATTGGTTTTTAAAAAGTTCTTTACTGTAAAAGTTTGCTTAAAATTGCATTTAAAATAATCTTGCGGAGGCCATTTGCAGTGAAAATTGTTCGTTAATTTGCAAGTGCAATCGTCCTCGTACTTATGCGTACGTCGTGCGTGCAGATGTATGTGCATCGTGCATGGAGCACAGCAGTGAAAAGGTGGGGAGTCAGGGTAGAAGAAAAAACCAAAAATTCCTGATTTGGGTGCGTGACGTTTCTTGACAGCGGTGCGAGCGCGTGTGCGATTTTGTGTATGTGGTGGAGTACCAGTGGACACAGACCTATACGTGCTGTAGTGAAACTCGTTGGGGCAGCGCTGCTGTGCTCTGCTACGTCGGCATTTTCTCAGCTTTTATGATGTTTTCATGTGGCACCATACGGCTTTGTGTTGCAGCGAAGCTCGTTAACGCGGCGGCGGCGATTCATATTTGCCATCAGGTTGATTATTCTCAGCTTTTGTTGCGGGGTTGTGTACTAAAGATTATTTTTGTTATAAAAATATCAACACAATCCTTGGGTCGACCACTTCTAAGGACCACTCTCCAAGGTTTAGGTAACGAAAGGTTTGAAACTATCCATTGTTCTTCCGCTAAAAAGCGTTGTTTACTTTGGTGTTACCATGTCACCGGATGTGAATTTTGTGTATCGACCATGGATCTGGCATAGAAAATATATTTTATAGAGGCAACGGAAGTAAGTGCGTTTTATCGAAATTAAAAACACCTACAAATTACGAATTCGATATCCCTCCAAACCAAAGTTCCCGAAATCTTAACGAAGTCTTCAAGGTTCAGTTAGTCTAGACTTAATTTACGTAACGTAACATATTATGCGCGTTCCTTATCCCCCAGAAATAGTCAGAAAAAGTCCGAAGTAGTCAGATTTAGTCCAAAAAGCGTTCCTTAACTCGGAAATGACAGCAAAAATGAGAGAGCAACAGTCAGTGAGAGCGACTCTCATCAGTCCGAAGTAGTCAGATTTAGTCAGAAGAATTTTTTCTGGCAAAATCCTGAAAAGTGTCAAACTCAACTGAATTTAAATTAACGGAAATTAAAGAATACGCAAAAAGTGAGAATAATCTAAAAAGTAAAAGAAATGAATTGAAATTGGAAGGAGGCAAAAAATAATTGATATAGCAAGTGTTTATTGTGCTTGTGCTTGTGTGAATGTGTTTTGTACATACATTTCTGTTCTTATTTGACGTTAGTTTTGTTGTTGCCATTCTTTGGACTAAAAATTTGGTTTTTTGCGTTCCTTTACTTTTCCTGTTACTCTCTTTTAGTGAGCGCATTTTGCTTACGCTCTGGCATTTTGACACTTTTCAGATTTTAGTCCAAAAAGATAAGGAATGAACCTATTATCGGCCGTCTTCACATGCTTGAAAATCTCGCTTGCGTTCTGCTTTTTTCTCTCGCAAGCGAGATAGAGTTTTTGGTGACTGGGCATTAGACAGCATACTTTTTCATTTGTAAAATGTCGCCAAACAAGAAGGTTCAAGCCTTGCAGGCTCTTAAAAGTTTGAGAAAATTAGAAAATCTGCATAAAGAGAGAAAAAGACGCAAGAAACGTTTTTGGGTGAATATAAATTTGTATTTGCCTCCAAAATAAACGATGTTGCTACTCTGAAGAATTCTGGAAATGAGAACAAAGTTGTCAAACAACAAAAATGACAGTTGAAACCAAGCGAGAGCTCGCATACCGCTCGGTATGCGAGAAAAAGCATGCTTCGTAATTTTTGCGGTCTACACGTGAGGTTTCTCGCATGCGTCGTCACGCAAGCGAGATTTTCCAGCACGTGAAGACGGCCGTTTATATTGGCCAACGCAATATATTTTTGTTCAGGGATTTTTGATGTGGCTTATAGGCGACAAAGTGGCCATCAGCTGAAAAGGAAAATACAAAGCCAAAATATTTTCGCTTCTGGCTAAGTTGACGTGTTGAGTAATCATTGACGATTTCTTACGTAAGTTAAGTTAAGTCTACACTAACTAGACTTTTAGGAGTATCGCATATCTGTAATGATTTTTTTACGAATCTTCAAAGAAATTTATATGAAGTGATTGACATGAACTCGTAAAGAAGTTTCTGTACGAAAAATTATTCGTGTACTTCGTGGTTGGTTTAAATAATACTTAAGCAAAAGATCACAAACCTAATCTTAGACTCTTTTACTACATACTTATATTCGTGAAAAATTCAGCAATTTCTCTTTTATAAAATGTAATATTCAACAAGGTGTATGTAGCTTTGCACATTTTTGAATCGAATTGTAGGATGTCATTTTCACAGCTGCCTCATTATCATTGTATTGACTTTTGCCCGGCAACCAGTAGTCAAGAAAGTATCTGCCTGCTTTTGGGCTACGCCACCCAGAGCTCGTCTTTTTAGCTCCACTCTGTTGAGTATGTACATTCGTTTACGTTTCTGTATATGCAAGTTAAAAAGATGCCCAGGAACAGTTTCATAAAAGTAACGTCGTTTCCAGGTAAACGCTGACACGGACATTGATTGCATTTTGACCCTTGCTTATATATATATATATGCTAAATAAATACATACCTATGTATGTATGTACAGTAGATTTCTTTCAAATGCCGATGCAAGCGTTGTCATTTAAGGACATGAGTGCTCATTTTCATTTCGGTGGTGGGAAGTGATATTGCATTTATACATACATATGTACATACATAAAATCGTAAATAATTTTATGAATTGTGTGAACCATAGTTGCGTTCGTTTTTGAATTTTATTAATAAGCAGATGCGGGGTGTCATATTTTGACCTAATTTAATTCTGAAAACCACCTATAATATTGTATATCTATGCAATATAGATACATATATCGTCGTTTAAAGTACAAAACCGCGTATCAACAAAATTAAAAACCGCGCATCAAGATACCGCAAAACTGCGTATGTGAGTTTGCATAAAATATTTTCTAGAGAGTAAAAACACTCAAATTTCAAAATGGTTCTCCTTTTTATAAAGCAATCGCATTTTCGCGCTTGTATATTTCAGGACGAATGGATAAGGATTGAGCCAAGAGCTTGTTTGAGCAAATCCAATTTTTGGCAGCAAATGCCAGTTACGCGGTTTTGCAGAATGGCGATACGAGGTTTTGTACTTTAAACGACGATATACAAATGTATATACTTAATGCTATTAGCTTACAGAGGTGACTTGGAAAGAGAAAAATTTGCAAATTATATTATCTATTAATTTTTAAATAAACACCGTGTATTTTTCGATTTGACGCAAATAGGACATATTCGTAAATTGATAACTTCCAGAATTTTATTCACATCATTGGCTTAAAACCGATTTAAAGTTACCTGTGAATAATTAATTTTCAACCAAAACTTTACTAGAGTTCTAAAGTAAATGATACTATAGAATAACACTTTGTGAAAACGCTCCTTTCAGCATATTTCTATTGTCATATGACCCATTGTGGAGTCTGATCGAGTTTTAGTGAGACTGCCTCGATTCTCTTGTCATTTCATAGCCCTTTGCCAACTGTGTAAACTTTTATAAATTTAGTTTTAAGAGGATATCACCCTGTTGATTTTTAGCTTAAAAAGCTAAGCTTAGCTTATATATATATTTTTTTTTTTTGATGTATGTTACCGCATAACTTTTGATCACGTTAACCGATTTCTATAATTCTTTTTTCAAAGGAAAGGTGTTACCTCACAGGTGGTCCATATTAATTTGGGTTATATCCGATAATCGCAACATGAAGAAATTAACAATGATCTTAAATTTTTATATGAGAATTGAAGTCGCTTTTGTTTTTTTGCTTAAAAATTACTTTTTTTTTTCTTTTAATTTTGAAGTTATGCTGATCGCCCATATATGTATCAGGAATTTCCTCTGAGGCAATAAAATATTTAGAATGCGCAAAAAATTATTTCTGAACTATTGCCAACTATAGATACGGGGTGCGGAGGCTTTGCTTTGGCCTTTTTTAGCAAACTACAGTAGAGTATTGTTTGTATAATTCAAAAACGTGACACATTTTAACTTAGAACACTTGAAAACGGTGTACGAAGTATTTGCGGTAAGCAATTCATGTCTTTAGGTGTCAATACCAGCACGTTCTGTGGATCAAGACACATTTGGCAGATATACATAAGTACATACATACTATGTACATATATGTATAATTCCGATGTCGGCTCGTCACAACTTTTGCAAATTTCATCTTCACCAGTGACTGGTTGCAATTTTTCGTCTCATTTATTTATACGATCACTTGGTCGTGCGCTCCTCAGCTCGACAAGGTTCCTCGGTTCATTTACACTTATCCATTGAGTGTCTTCTTCATTTAGGTTGTGCTCGCTCGCTTACTTGCTCGATCATAGTGGCTTGTTCACTCTGCTTTAATGCACTTTTGTGATTTCCTTTTGACTGTTATGTTGTTGGTATTGTTTTTTTGCTGCTCTTTGTTGTTGCTTTACGACAAGGCAACGACTAGGGCTCTGACACGTCGAATTGTTGGATCGCTTGTTGGTTTGTTGCTTGTTTGGCTGGTTAGTCTGGCTGCTGCGTGCTCTTGTGTTATTTTTCCCACTGATTCTTTTTGCAGTTTACATGTTTGTGGGATTGTGATTTTCGCTTAATATACTTTTCCTTGTTTGCTTCTGTATATGTACCTGTATGTTCATGTGTGCATACCCCGTAGGAAATAGGAGCACGTAATGCCTTATCAGCAGCTTACATTTTAGGTGCATCTACATAGAAATTTAGCGCTGGCTTTGACGTTGGTTTGACAGAACGCGCGTTAAAAGTATGCTTGCTACAATGAACAATTGGCAGTGAATGCTTTGCCCACTAAATTAACATAGGCTGCATTCTAAAACGTCAAAATACAAAACATCACTATCTTTTATTTTTAAACCTCAGTAGATTGTAATTCCAAATGTGTGCAACCATGGTTAGATGCTAGTTTTGAACTAGGTTCCGCAAAATAGACCTTTTCTCCAAGTGCTGTTTAGAAATAAAAGACAATGATGCTTTGTATCTTGACGTTTTGGAATTCGCCCATACTAACGACAGATAAATTTATACTTAATATCAATAATTGCATGAAAAACGATATTTCTTTCCCGTTTTTGATTAAAAAGAAAAAAATATTCCACATAATTTTATTTATTTGCAACAGCTGACGAACGACGCATGCGAAAAGTTGAGGGTTGGCCATCTTTCTGCATTGTGTCGGCGTTAGCGTTGCCGAATTTTTGCGGAAGGCTGCATTCGGTCTTGATTTGAATTCATGTATTCATAGTCAGCTGTTGAAGCGACGCCAACGCCAACGCAACGCCAAAGTTGTATGTGGATGGGCCTTTCACCCGGCGCTCCTTACCACTTCCCTGCCGAATCTCCCTTACTTGAACAAAGGCGTGGCCGCCTTATGGTATTAGGAATTTAGAATGTACATTTGGTACCAGCGATTCTTCTCAGCCGCTTTACCAAGTAATACGTAGATTATAGAGCCGTCGCTCGGACTAGTTCGGCTCTAGGAAATATCTTCGGCAGCACGTTATTTTGCAACTTACAACGTAACGGCCCGTCTCCACAGACAAAAGTTTTTGCCTACCAACTGTCATTTTTATTGCCTGATAAAAATTTTATCAGAGGCATTATTTGTGCGTGGGCATTTTTTATCTTGATAAAAGCATTTGTAAGATGACGATTTTTGCCCGATTTAATTACTTAAGATATTTAAAAAAAAAAAATATGCTATTTCACACCCAAATACGTAACAACGAATATTTTAACAGAAAATAGCTCAACTTTCGCTTTTATATCAAAATATCGATAATGTTGCCACCACGAAGTTATCGCGCTTATGAAAATGTGGCTGTCAAAGTACCAAATTGCTGCAAATATTTATCAAGATAAAAGCTCTGATATTAATGACTGCCAAGAGCAACATGCGGTCTCCATTGGCAAAATTTTGCCTCATACCATTATCAAGATAAAAACTTTTGCCTGTGGAGACAGCAAATAAGGCGACATCGGAGATGTGACTTTTGTGCTTTACTAATAAATGACATTGGTCATGACAATTTTGGTGCTAAAATCCGAAAGAAAACATGGATTATCCCGTAAAGTGCTTACCTATTTTCCCAGTGGGTAGCATGTATGAATAATCATCTGTATGTGTGTATGAGAATCGTAGTTTGGACGCGAGACAATGGGTACTGTTTGTGATCAGTTATTTAATATGGTTGTCATTGTTGTTGTTCCATACCATCAGCGTCGCTGTCGCTCCATTTGATATTTTTGTTTTTGTTGTTGTTGTAATTTAAACTGATATTTTTGTGCTGGCTTATTTGTTGGCTTGGCTTGGCTGACTGTTGTTTTAAGTTTGTATAGTGTGTGCATGGGAATTTTTTGATTCGCACTTACTAGGGATGGGTATTTATTAAAATTTTCGAGTTTTTAGTTATTCGGTTTTTGTTTGTAAACCGTTTTTTCACTGATCGGGAATCAATCGGAAAAAATCGCCAGTCTTTAAAAAAAAACGAAACGTGCACTTTTTTATACCCGAGTGCGCTTGTGCACAAGGGTCCGTTCGTAAATTCCATCGAGCAATAACCACGCTCACGCATTACGTGTTTTGAATAAAAAAATACAAATTTTTTATAATGCACTTTTCTAAAAACTTTCAAAATAATAATTTGGTAAAACCAAGAAATCCGGGTTTTGCTTCCTCCGCGAACAGGTGTTTTACAAAAAAAAAAAATCGAAACATTAAATAAAAAACCGTTCGGAGATACTCATCCCTAGCACTGACCAATCGAGGTGAGACGAGTTGAGCTCGACAGCACGCCTGTGAGCTTGAATACGCGTTTACAACAACAAATGCATTGTATTGTTTACTGAATCTTGTGGGAATTTTGTGAGAGATGATCGACGTTAGTATGGTTTGTATGTGGTGCTCTGAGAATTCTTTCGGTTTTTTATGACATTTTTTTGTATCATTGACTCCACTTTACATAATCGAACTGTGGAAGGGACGTAATAACTGCTGTGTATCGAAAAACTGCACGATGGTATGAGAACCCTGCCTGTAAAAGACGGTCGAATAAAAAAATGGAAATTTGCTTACATTTGAATAAACTCGGCATGGTTTCAACTTCCGCAATTTATGTATATGTATTTAACGAATTAATCGATGTGCTATACCGGCATGCATGTCTATGCTACTGGAGGTTTGATTTTTAGTAGCAAATAAATACGAATTGTTTTAATATTCTCCAACCAATCACATATAAACCAAAGTAGTAGAATTCATAATAAATATGCATATTTTTTAGCGTACTTGTTTGTTGGTCATCTGCTGGTTGTAGCATATTATGGAAGAAACATGTCCCGAGTCTACTAATTCAATTAAATTGGGCATCGCTCAGCCACCAACAACAGCAACCAAAACGATTCTTTCCGTCGCAAAGCAACAATCGCCTTTACAATCGGATTCGTTATCGTTGAACGAACAACCTTCAACTTCTAGCGGCTTGAACACGGCCTCAATGTCGCTGTTGCAGGAGGGATTCGTTGACTCGCAACACGATTTTGCCGAAGTTTTGGATGATGAGACGACCACTTCCGGTGTGCTGGAAACATTTGAAATAAGTTCATCAAACTCACTACCGCCGAGTTGTTCAGATGTGCACAGAGAGGTTGTTGTGGATGATAGTTCTTCAACGGATACCATAAAATTGGTTGAAGTATCTAACAGTACCTCTTGCAATAACAAGTTTTTTAATGTTTCTGAGGTGTATGTAATCAACGATGATGATGACGACGATGATGTGCCCGAAGTGGAAGAAGGGGAAGTGGAAGATGAAGATTTGGCGTCAGTAAATGAGACAGCTATGCATCCACATAGTGTCCAAGATAGCGATAATCAGCATCAACTTAGCCGATTCTCGAGCAATAGTACGAACAGTCAATTGGGCAGTGTTATTGTAACTAATGGAGGCGCGACAATTTACCTTGAAACGCCGGTAGTCGAAGAACAGCATCAACATCATCTTCAACTCAGTGAAGGGGGCGAAAACGGCGAGTTCGGAGAAAAAGCTGGGAAACCAAAACGTTTAAGCGATGAATTTATGCTAACCGATGAGGCCGAACCGTTTGGTAAAGTAAGTGAAAACAAGTCCCGAAACACAGATGGTGAAACTAGTGCGACAACCACGTTTGAAGGAGTAGGCAGCAATGAATTATTACCGGATCGCGTGTCATTTCGATTGAAAGAAATGAATATTAATAACTCAGCGGGTACAAAGATATGCAAAAATAATCCTTGCAATAATTCTGATAACTCCGCTGATAGGCCTTCCAGTTCCAAAAGCAATGAGAATGAAGTCGTCTTATTGCCAGCGCCCAGTATGGCAGATATCGAATCTATGGATTTAATAGAACGCCGTGATTTTGAGACAGAGCAAAGGCTAACAGATGGTCTTATATTAAAAGGTAGCTCTTTAATAAATAATAATATGATTAACCTGAGGCTGATTAATGCGTCGTGGAACACAGAAACACATCGGGGAAAGTTGGAGCTGGAAGATGATTGTCCCAGCAGCAGCAGCAATATAAATAATAGTAGTCATAGCAATTTTGTTGGGCGCGCCGTTTCTTCAGACAGCAAGGTATGCACGTTCGCTTTATAATAACGTCTTTTTTTTTTTGTTATATTAAGTCAAAATATTTTTATTTTACAATTAACATTTTCATACAGTGTGCTTACAAGGATCTTGCGTCAACGCCAACGAGTAGCCGCAACTACAACAGTCGTTTAACCAAATCAACTGCCAAACTTAATTTGTGCTCTACTCTAAGTCATCCTCAACATCGGCAAGTGCAACCGCTTCAGGATCGGGCCATAAGTGCCAACAATTCCACAAAAATATATATAAAATCACAGCAGCCAGGCAATAGTAACAATAAGAGTCTGATTTCATTATCCTCATCATCCCATACATGTACTTCAATCTCGTCTGCATCTACTTCTGTATCTTCGTCATCCGCATCTTCAGCATCATCATCAACTTCATCAGTAATTGTGGAGGCACGCAACGCAACATCAGTTTCATCATCGTCGTTGCCAGGTACCCCTGCATGCACCATCGGTGGTAGTGGCGTCGGTGGTGGTGGCGCAGCCGCGGAGATATACTCCAACTCTAATTCAAATGACAGTCTTATGAGTAGCGCATCTACAACTACCAATTGCCGCCATCGGCAGCAGCAACAACCGCCAAACGGATTGGTTGATAGGTCAGAGGTTGGTGGCTGTAGCCGCACCAGCTCAATACACGCTGCTGTGGCAGAGGCTGAAAACAATGCAGTAGCTGCAGCGGCTGCCAGCTCTAGATCAGCGCCCGCTTCCGTTTTTGACGACGCCCAACCTTCAACTTCATCCGCACGTTGCCAATATGCTCCGTCCGTGAAGAGTTTGCGTCAAGTGCATGCCAGCGCACAAACCCATGAGCGGTATATCGGTCGTGGTGGAATAGCAACTGTGGGAATTAGTGGCCCAGCTGTATCCGGTAGCGGCATCAATTTCCAGCTGGCATCTAGCAGAAGCCGGCGTCGTGCCGACTTGGCCGCTCAGCTGAATCGCAACAATACCTCTGAAGAAGTAATCACTGCAGCTTTTAAGGTGATGGCTGAAGCGGCGGCAGCAGCCGCGGTGGCAGATTACAATGACGAATCTTCATGGGCCGACTGTGACGAAAATACTTCTGATGAGGAGATTTGTACATGTCATCACAGCAGCAGCAGTAGTGCAAGTAATAGTAGTCATGGCGGTAGCAATACCAGTCTAAACGAAACGGACACTGATGCAGCGGAAATTTCTTTTGGTGGTGGCACTGTCAGCTGCGCTGCCAAGGATGGCGATTTGTCAAATTACATACAAATGGTTTCGATATCGGAGGAGGTGGGCGGCAATGGTACCGCTAACTCCACCACGGAGAACACGCCCAATTGTGCATACTTTAATGCCCAACAACGTAAGCGGAAATACAATGATAACCGTCTATTAGGCGCCGATTCTGGTGCTGCTGTTTCCAGCAATGGCAGCGGTTCAAACATGGATGATGTCAATTGCAGGAAACGTATAGCATATGATTTTACCTCAACGACACGCCACAATAGTGCTTTAGTAGCTTTGCCCTCCACACCAACAACACAAATCGCGCAGCTGACCACCATCAGTAATTCTTCAATGGGTCGTCGTACACCGCGTTCCATCATACCGACACGAGAGAATCCACCACCCGAATTGCAGCATTGGCTGTCACAATTCCAACGCTGGACACATGTTGAACGACTCATGGCGATCGATCGGCTGATTGAGCATTGCGAACCGACACAAGTCCGTCATATGATGAAGGTGATTGAGCCACAATTCCAGCGCGATTTTATTTCGTTGTTGCCGCGGGAGCTGGCATTGCAAGTGCTCGCCTATTTGGAGCCAAAAGATTTATTGCGCGCTGCGCAGACTTGCCGCAGTTGGCGCTTTTTGTGTGACGATAATTTGCTTTGGAAGGAAAAATGCCGAAAAGCACAAATACTCACCGAACCGCGCACGGATCGACCGAAACGAGGTCGCGCTGGCAATATGCCGCCAATTGCGTCACCATGGAAAGCTGCTTACATGAGACAGCATATCATTGAAATGAATTGGCGATCGCGGCCAATACGCGAACCTAAGGTATTGAAAGGGCACGATGATCACGTGATTACATGCTTACAATTCTCGGGTAATCGGATAGTGTCAGGCTCAGATGACAATACTTTAAAAGTTTGGTCGGCTGTCACGGGAAGGGTAAGTTGTAGACAGTATTTTGTATAAATACAATTTTCTAATGCCATGCATTAATCTATCTTTAATTTTTCCTTTATTAGTGTTTGCGTACGTTAGTTGGTCACACTGGAGGTGTGTGGTCATCTCAGATGTCGGGCAATATTATAATCTCAGGTAGTACCGATCGTACACTGAAAGTCTGGGACATGGATACTGGTCAGTGCTTGCACACATTGTTGGGGCATACCTCTACTGTTCGATGTATGCATTTGCACGGCAATAAGTAAGTGTGCGCCTCAAATTTTTGGGCTCTCTAGGATTAGATGAGGTACTGTAAATGGTTGAGGGCACAATAGACCTGCTGGTCGCAGTGCATGCCTCCATTAATTATCTATCTAAGTGTGCGCCATTTTTTAGAAACATTTCGATATTAGTTAATTTAAATTAATTTTATTATTTTTTCCTTTAGGGTCGTTAGTGGATCTCGCGATGCCACGCTTCGCGTATGGGATATAGAACAAGGTTCATGCTTGCATGTGTTAGTTGGCCATTTGGCAGCAGTACGTTGTGTGCAATATGACGGCAAATTGATTGTTTCGGGAGCTTATGATTATATGGTGAAAATCTGGCATCCCGAGCGCCAGGAATGCCTACACACATTATCAGGACATACAAATCGTGTTTATTCGTTGCAGGTAAATATACAGTGTAACGCACAATAAACTTTGAACTCGTTTCTAAACACAAATTCACACAGATTGTGTACAAATCCATATGTCTAGTAATCCGACCTAGGGTTTAGTTTCAATATCGGCAAAAGCTATCAAAAATAAAACCAAATTTTATTAACACACATATTTGCTAAATTACTTTATGCCTTTTCTTCATCTTCTAGTTCGATGGTATGCATGTTGTATCTGGATCTCTAGATACCTCCATACGCGTGTGGGACGTTGAGACAGGAAATTGTAAACATACACTCATGGGACATCAAAGTCTTACTTCCGGAATGGAATTGCGGCAAAATATTTTAGTCTCAGGCAATGCCGATTCAACGGTCAAAGTGTGGGATATAACAACAGGCCAATGCTTACAAACTTTGTCAGGTGAGTGGACAAGTGTATTTTATGTAAACAAAAGTTAAAGGTAAATACACCACTGTCTGCCTTCCAAAAATCGAACTACAGTTGTAAAGGATGGTGATAAGGCTTTCAACAACGAATTTAGATTAGTTTCAAAATGTTCTATTCCGAAAATATACATACGTATGGTCAGAGAGCATACAACTGCGAATCAAAAAAAAAATAATAATAAACAAAATTCACTTTACTAACTTAGCCACTATCGATTCGCGAGCGATGAAAGTACTGAGCTATTCTGTTGACAATTGAGAAAGAAAGCACTGAATCAGTTCGTGGGCAGTTAGAAAGGAAAAGAAAAAATGCAATACTATTAAAAGTGTGCAAAGAAACGTAAAATATGGGCGAAAATTTTAAGGCGGACTCACTGAGAAAAGTTCTGAACGCTTTTGAGTTGTAAACTCAACTTCAACTTAAATTAAGAACTAGAACGATCAATCTGTCTTTAATATATATGTATATGTACGTGCAGTTTTGATCTCTTAATTGGTCTTTGGGGGTGAACTTAATTTTTAAATAAATCGGCACCATTCTCTAACATGACGCATAAGTTGTGATTCTAGTCGAATGCTCTCTGCCGTTTCTGCAATTAAACTGGGAAGACATCATTGCACCTGCTCCTTGAATGTGATGCCGTATCGAGGCGACGGTTGAACAACATATGGCCCGAAAGAGAGCACATACACTCACTTCTTACCTCTAAAAGCTCTCCTGGAATTTCTGGAGTTGTTGTTGTTGGAGTCTATACCGGTGATGGGCACTGCCTTGCCCGCGGGCAAAGTTCTTTTAAGCTTTCTATACATTTCGTATAGGCGCTTGCAGAGTAAAAGCTCTCTCGGCCCATCGCTGGTCTATAGGAATGAAATATGTTTTGTGATGGGTGGAGGGCACAATGTATCCATGATCACGATTATCTATATATCGTTACCTTAATATAGAAAGGCCCTAACTCACATTGTCGCTGAAATACAAAAAGCCGTAACTAAGTAAAAATCTAAGATTCCCTGTTTGATTGTATATGATGCATATCATCGAATTTTAAGTCCCCACATCATTTTAAGCAACAACAAATTTTAGTCAGTTACTGCTTTTTTGCGTTTCAGCGACTATATGAGTTAGGGCCTTTCTATATTAAGGTAACGATATCTATCTAACATGATGCAATGATCACTAGTTACTATTCCAACACTCATATATGTATGCACGTTTTTCTAACTACATTTTCCAACCCAAAAGGTCCCAATAAGCATCAATCGGCAGTAACTTGTTTGCAATTCAATTCGCGCTTTGTGGTAACGAGCTCAGATGATGGAACAGTGAAATTATGGGATGTAAAAACCGGTGAATTCATACGTAATTTGGTCGCATTGGATTCAGGCGGCTCAGGGGGCGTTGTCTGGCGTATAAGGTATGTAATAAATTGTTTTTGTTTTATTCTATGTATAGGGTATACATACTTCCAAATGTACGTATATTTATTCCTCTTTACTCATTTGTAGGGCAAATGATACCAAGTTAATATGCGCCGTGGGTTCGCGTAACGGCACGGAGGAAACCAAACTAATGGTTTTGGATTTTGATGTAGAAGGAGCTTGTGTGAAATGTTCATAGAAGATGCGACTGCAGTCATTAGAAGCAAATAAAAATCAATATTATTAAACACACATTACACCGAAAGAGGAAATATTCATAGCATAGGTAGTATTTGTATGTATAGCGAACAGCGCTCCTCACAACAAAATCTCCACAAAGAAAAACACGGGGAAATTAAAGAAATTATCTCTTACAATATAAACTTTATCATGTCATGCACACCTCGGATTATTCGATCCGAGAGATGGGGTTATCTAAAATGTATGAAGAAATGCAGCCTAAGTTTTGTGTAGAGATAATGATAAAGACTTGCTAGGCTAAGGAAAAAAATATATTTTGCCGTTTAAAAATGCATTTAGAAATGCTGCAATTGCGAATATATATTATATGGCACAGACATTTCCGTCACATTAAAGTATGAATATTGAGCTTATTGGATGATAATTATACGAAAGGCCAAATACATTACATACGTACGCATAACCGGCTAATAATATTATTTGAGATTCCTTTTTCAGTAATGAAATGTTAAAAATCAATATAAAATTTTGATTAATTTATAAAATATGATACTATTTCAAGTATAGCAGCTTACTCGTATACATACATATAAGTATATAAAGAGCGGATAAAAATTCATTAATACCTACCTATGTATTTCGTCCAATGCGACACTTCAATTAATGTCAGCTCGACGGAAATTTATTGTTCCGCCTGTGCATGCTATGCTCGTTATTTAGACCAGCAAGTAAAGAAATTGGTAATGGTTAACGTACCGCAAAATTTGCGAGAAACCAGTTGAGGAGAAAATTTTAGAAATTACAACATTTAATTTTGGTATAAGTATGCAATGCGTTTTATATTTTCGCACATAGTAATTCATAAGCACTCGTAAAGGTTACGTACCTTTTTTGTCTTACTAGTACAACTAATTTGTATTTTTTAATGTTTATTTCAATTAGTTATAGCTATTGAGTTTGTATTTAACACTTTTTAAACGAATTCGTTTACCAATGCAGATATATAACGCGCAAGTGGGAGGGTAATCTTATAAAGTGTGTATAGATTACTTTTAATGAGAGCTTTATAAACTTTAAATCACGTATACGTAGCGATACTGTTTGCAATTACATATATACATTTAATAAATATTTTAATTTCGTTTGTTTTATCGCGTCAGCTCTAAATTATTGTAACAGCAAAGCGCTTACTGGTTTTATATATTTTACATAGATTTGTTTACATGTTTGTTTTTTAATCGAACCCTTCAACTCGTAGCGCTTCGTATTGACAGCCGTTTATAAGCGTATAAAACTATATTCTGTTAAATATTTTTAAAACACTGAAGCAAAAAACTACCATGCCAACATATTTTGCTATCGCGTTTGTAAGCAAGTAATTGGAGTAGATTGGATTTAGGCTTTCAATTGAAAATTATGTTCTTCCACAGAAATCACCAACAACTGCGTGCTACGCGCGGTGGTCTGGTGGTGCGTAATTTGTTATACAAAAATTTAGTAAATTTTGTTTTTCTTTTAAACAACTCAAGCTTTTAAGAGTCATCACGTTAATAGTTTTGTTTAAAATGTGTTATTAAACCAAACATTCACACATACAATTGTTAGGATATATATTAATATTAAAAAATATTTTGTTTATCTGTAATTTGCGGTTTGTTAGCTTCGTTTGATTAACAAAAGTCCAATATTGTTGTAGTTTGTTTAAGCATAATTTTCAATCTTGAAATTGCAGTTGTAATTTTTGTTAAAGAATTATCGACGTCCTTCGTCAGTTTTCCAATTTGTAAAGTTGGCTAATTACAGTTTCATTTAATTATGTATATTTGCCACTAACATTGCCATGAAGATTTATTAGGAGCATAACATCTCAAGAAAATCTGAAGGGATATTTTTATACATACATACATACTACAAACAGCAATAAGCTAAATAAATTGAACATATGCAAACCAATCGTATCTAGTAATTGCAAATATGGTTTGAATTAATAAAGAAGCTGTTAGACGTGGCAAGTGCAAGTCCTTTTCAAAAGTCTGTCAAATTCAAGAATTTCCAAAAGAGATTGCAGGGCAGTTACACCTTGCGTGTAAAGTGGCTTCGAAAGCCACTTTTTTATTTCTGAAACTCAAACTTTCCGATACTACTTTTTGTCTTTACACGGTGAACGCAGACAAGTCCACTTTCAGGCATTTTTATGCTTTATAACAAAATTAATGACCTGAAAAATGTACTAAACCTACTAAAATGTGCACAAAACAGTCTAATACTTTAATACTTAAATACTCCATATCAGTAGAATAAATTAATTACACGTATTTTTCATACTATATTCAACATTTTTAAAATTTTATACAAATTCGCCAAAAACGCGGCACACGGCAACAGTCGATCGGTTTGACAGCACTTGCAGCAAAAATGAAAATTGCTAGTGCAGCACGAGCAAGTTGAAATTATTTCTTTAAAGCGATTTGCGTAGTTTCAGTTGCAGTTACTCCTTGCAATTTTTATTACCAAAAGTGATTTCTCCAAATCTGCAAAGTAGACTTTCGATTTCGCATTTTGTCAGCGAAACGCGTAGAAAAAGCGCTTGCATTGCCACGTTTAACCGCACCTTAAGACATATAGTTCGTGTAGTATGTATACATATGTTTTTGTTAAAACAAAAGAAACGCACACATGCATAGCCAGCACCAAAAAAAAATCATGCTACCGGGTTAAAGAATGAATGCAAATCATCAGTTTCCGAGGGTGTTGAAACTAACACTAAGCCCTTTTGGTAATATTTATAATTTCTTCGTTTGTTTATAAGCTAACGTACATACAAATGTGCAAACTACGCGCTCGAAGCCCGTTCATGTGTGCGTGTGCGTACATACATAAATATAATAGAATTATAAGTGAAGCATAAAAAAGCAGCATACAGATTGAATATTAAATTTTAATTATAGACTGATTTATTAGTAACTAATCTATATTTTAATAATCTGTACTGTATCAGTTTAAGTATAATGAACAAAACCAACAACTACATTGTGTAGAGATGCGATAAGTATAAAATAAAGCAAAAAAAAACTAAACAAAAATCAGGTCCAAATCTCGCCGTCGCATTAAATAGCAGCAGCAGCAGCAGCAACAAACTAAGCAAAACATGTCGGCTTCATTCATGCGACAATACATTTATTAGATATGTANACACGGTGAACGCAGACAAGTCCACTTTCAGGCATTTTTATGCTTATAACAAAATTAAGTATCTGAAAAATTTACTAAACCTGCTAAAATCACAACAGTCACAAAACAGTCTAATACTGTAATACTTAAATACTCCATATCAGTAGAATAAATTAATTACACGTATTTTTCATACTATATTCAACATTTTAAAAATTTTATACAAATTCGCCAAAAACGCGGCACACGGCAACAGTCGATCGGTTTGACAGCACTTGCAGGAAAAATGAAAATTGCTAGTGCAGCACGAGCAAGTTGAAATTATTTCTTTAAAGCGATTTGCGTAGTTTCAGTTGCACTTACTCCTTGCAATTTTTATTACCAAAAGTAATACCTCCAAATCTGCAAAGTAGACTTTCGATTTCGCATTTTGTCAGCGAAACGCGTAGAACAAGCGCTTGCATTGCCACGTTTAACCGCACCTTAAGACATATAATTCGTGTAGTATGTATACATATGTTTTTGTTAAAACAAAAGAAACGCACACATGCATAGCCAGCACCAAAAAAAAATCATGCTACCGGGTTAAAGAATGAATGCAAATCATCAGTTTCCGAGGGTGTTGAAACTAACACTAAGCCCTTTTGGTAATACATATTTATAATTTCTTCGTTTGTTTATAAGCTATCGTACATACAAATGTGCAAACTACGCTCGAAGCCCGTTCATGTGTGCGTGTGCGTACATACATAAATATAATAGAATTATAAGTGAAGCATAAAAAAGCAGCATACAGATTGAATATTAAATTTTAATTATAGACTGATTTATTAGTAACTAATCTATATTTTAATAATCTGTACTGTATCAGTTTAAGTATAATGAACAAAACCAACAACTACATTGTGTAGAGATGCGATAAGTATAAAATAAAGCAAAAAAAAACTAAACAAAAATCAGGTCCAAATCTCGCCGTCGCATTAAATAGCAGCAGCAGCAGCAGCAACAAACTAAGCAAAACATGTCGGCTTCATTCATGCGACAATACATTTATTAGATATGTATGTATGTACATATGTACATTCATACATATGTATGCATATGAAACATTCATTCATTGTTCCATGCGTTGCATTCGCTTGGAACACGCCGCTCCGCAAGCGCTTGCTGTTTGTACGTTTGTTGTTTGCTTGATCTGTGTGTGCACGAGCGTATCAGCTACTATTGTAAAACATTAATGTATGCATCTATTAATTAATATACTAAACATCTAAAACAAAAAATAAAAACAAAACTTATTTGCATAAATTCATATATACAACAAAGTAATGCAAATCAAGTACATATATATCTATAATCGCAATAAATTCATAAATTGATTAATAAAATACAGTAAATGTAAAAATAATTTGAGTGCAGTTGTATTTTCTCTTTTACGCGTCAAATTTGGATTATAAAAGAAAAAAATAAGTATTTCTGTAGTGCCCCTACAAAACAACGGCCGTAATCCTAGTATGCACTCCGTTTGACGGTTGCCGTTTATCCACCTAGACAAAGCTGCAACAGTTGCTGGGGGCAATAGGGAAGAAGGCGGCGGTGCTGCAATTAGAAATTTACTCACAAAAATTACAGCGTTTGAATTACAATTTGCTAAGACATTTTGGTAACCGGCAACTAGTAGAACGCTGTGGACGAAGTTTCACAAACCGGGAAGCCACTAGGTGCCTTTTGATTACGCCTAAACATGAACTGCGTGATAAGGTCCCAAATCTCCCTGCTTGTAAGTATCAAACGAAACTAAAATTAGCAAGCAATTACTTGTTGGTTGCTAGAGTAGGAAATATCCGAACCGTCACCAACTTGGAACACAGCTTGAAGTTGAAGCTGAGCTCCAAAACACGACCAACCATAACCAACTCCACATTCTTGCGGGCGCTATGTATGTATGTAGATATGCAGTAAAAAACCAACAGTACCGGAAGCTATGCAAACGTTCAGGCAATCAACGGCATTCGGTGAGGCAACCATAGTTCAGTCACCAGCAAAAGCTGTTGAGAAAAAATGCGTCGGCTGCATGGAGAGCCCTTTATTCTGGCGCAAGTACGATCTGCATACTGCTACTTCTGCAACACCTTCAAAACCAGACTCGACACGCGACATAGCCATTATACTTACAAATTCCCTAAAACCCAGTGAAGAGACGCACCTCCCTTCCGTTCGACCCTGCTTTACTGGCTTTAACAAATTGTCGAATCCCACACTTTTTCGTAATGACAACAACATACAAATATAGTAAAACTGCGTTTTTAGTTTTTCTCTCTGACGTCAGGATTTCTTTTAAAGGACTGAAATCTCAAGGATATGAGAAATTAAAAAAATTATTTCAAAAATTCAGTGCAATGTAGAATATCGGTGTCAAATAAATGAGAAAACCTTGCAAGATTGAAAGAAAATGAAATGTTTTAGTGCAGAAGGACGAAAGGGCATTGAAATTGTCTTTTTAACTTTATTAGCTTGCGATAAAATTTTTTTTTAAGGACATTTTCTATACCTATTAGTCGTCTTTGTGCACGAAAAGTTTTGATGTTTTTCAATTTTATGGAATCTTCGCTCTCATTTAGTACCCATATTTTTATTCTACATTGCACTGAATTTTTTTTATATCCTTTAAGATTAAAAGTCCTCTAAAAAAGATACTGATGTCGGAGATAAAATAAAAAAGCAGTTTTGCTGAAATTGGCTCCTTGTTTCGTAAGTATGTATGTATATTGTTTCGTGTGTTTTTTGGTTTTTGTCGCACGTTGCAATATGTATGGCAAGTCACATGACTATTTACTATTTACTCAACACAAAATTTTTTGATTAACTTCCGGCCGTATAATACGTAAGTTTTCAATCCCGAGCACATGAAGGTTAATAATCAGGCAGGTTCTGCAATTCACATCAGAGTGAATTTCAACCCCTGCCAATTTGAATTCAAAGCTCATTTTATCGGAATTCACTCGAAAGTGAATTGCAGAACCTGCCTGAATAAATATTTGATTACAAAAAAAAAAANGCAACGGCGGTGGAAGTGGCAATACATCAGATGCATCCAAATACGATGATGATGCGTACCGACAAAAGAGACAGAGAAATAATGATGTGAGTATAAAATACGATTAATTTAACTACTTAAATAGGAATTTTTTACTATTTATATACAAAGGCAGTGAAAAAAACACGCCAGAAATCCAAGGAGACGGCAACTGAACGTAAACGTAATGTGGAGCGTTTAAAAAATGACAATATCAAGCTCGAAGCATCCATTAAAGAGGTTAAGGAGCATGTAGAAACTTTGAAGAATTTGTTGTTGAACAACGTGCAAAAGGAGGAGCAGGAAGCGGTTTTGCAACGGATTCTAAATGAGCCATCTGATGACGAGGGTGAAAGTTTTGATGATACATAAATGAATGGAGTTAGCGAGTTAGGTGAAGTAAATTATAATATAGTTTAAATACTAAATCCAATAATACAGCTATTACTTTAAAGGGCATGCTAATTCTGAACTTCTATGATGGTAATTTGCTTTAAAGCACCATTCTTTAAATCAAAACAATTATAAAAGAATCTTTAGATATGTACAAATAAAAAGTTATAAATTTTAATATATGTACTTTTCAGTACTCACCATCAAAAATATCCAGTTTTGCTAAATGTAGTGAAAATACTTCGTCCATTTTGGTTTTTTCAATACTGCTTTTAGATCAGCGGGATATCGTGGTGTATTTTTTGAGTAGTTATGGGCCCAAATGTCTTATCGTGAAGCGTTCACAACTAAAAATACGATAACCCTGATAACGAATACAAAACAAACACATGCTCAGCGTAGCGAGTGCATAATAATACTGAATTAGTTAACACTATCAAATGTTGGGGCGGCTATAGCAATATGAACTTTTATTATTTGTTTAACACGCTTTACTCCTATTACTTCTGTGTATATATCTTTCGGTATGTTTGTATGTATTATAATAGCGTTTAAACCGAAAGAATGACGATTGCATTCACCCTGCTGCTTTCAATTGATTTCTTACAATTATTGTTTTGCGTTTGTGCTTTCTGCTCCGTCTGGATAGCTTCTATGCTCGCAGATAACCAAAGAGTATGGGAAAAGCTAGAGCGCGGGCGTCATAAATTGCTACTGATGCTCCATTTAGTCGCACACTATGAGAGATTAGAAAAGAATTTAAGTGAATAAATTTTCGAAATAGACTATGCATGTTTCATGGCTTAGTAATAGCTGCTATTGTATATCGTCGATGTTTTTGCAAAACCGCCTATCTTACGGCACTCAAATTTTACAGGAGAGCGAAAAAACTGTTTATTTTTTGAAGTCATTGCCTTGATATGCGGTATTTTCTCGTTTTTTGTCACAACGGCGATTTAGGCGGTTTTGCAGCTGGTCAATGGGCGGTTTTGCAAAAACATCGACGATATGAATTTATGTACGTAATACGTACATACGTACATATGTATTTATTTTCGTAGGCGGATGGTTATTTTACACATATGCATGTACATATGTGTGTATATCGTCGTTTAAAGTACAAAACCTCGTATCGTCATTCTACAAAACCGCGTAACTGACATTTGCTGCCAAAAATTGGATTTGCTCACACAAGCTCTTGGCTCAATCCGTATCCATCCGTTCTGAAATATACTAGCTAAAAGGGGATTGCTTTATAAAAAAGAGAACCGTTTTGAAATATGAGTGTTTCTACTCTCTAGAAAATAATTTATGCAAACTCACATACGCGGTTTTGCAATATCATGATACGAGGTTTTGCATTTTGTTGATATGCGGTTTTGTACTTTAATCGACGATAAGCAAACATATGTATGTAAGTACCATAGATCACATTAATTTACGCCAATGAACTGAGTCGTGATAATTGTTTGCCAGAAAATGTTTACTTTTATCACAATTTTTTATGAATGTTATTGTTGTGAATTAAATCAAATGCTTCCGCTAATTTGAAGTGCTTGTGTTACTCAGATAAAATGGGCTAATAGTTATAATGTTTGTAGGTGCGTATGTACACACATATGTATGTATGTATGTATGTAGTACTTACATATGTACATATATATTTTTTTGTTGCTGTTTTTTTTGTAAGAATGGTATTTTAACACGAATAGGTACCACACAATAGACGGAAGCCAAACGCTTTAATTGTGGATCGATAACAAATAATGAAAAACACATAAAACAGCAAATAAATTTACTACTTATTTTTCCCTAATCAAAAGTTAACTGGGAAAATCAAAACCCATGGCAGAATTATACCAGGTGAACAACAAGAATGCGGTACTGAAACAACCTATATATATATATAAAAATTTATACCTAATGATTTACATATTTACAATGCACATCCGGTTGACGCGATTCTGATACTGTGCAACTTTAATAAAGGTCTTTAGGAATACAAAATTGCAACAGCAACGAAATAAACAATGCACATTGCCAACAAACGTATGTAAGTACTTTGCTGCATTCTCAACAAACCAATAAAACTGTGAATAAATCAGACATTGTAAAATTTATAACACACGCGACATTGAATTTCACGAAACCAAATACACTTTAATTTTGGATTTCAGTATTATTTAAACCAATTTAAACCCTTCGCTAAGGCAAGAACAATATTTTTACTTCGCTTATTGCATACGTAATTTCCGAAAAGAAGGAAAATCGAATAGCGAAAAGAGCATACTGCCAGTGGATCACTAGCCATTTTCATAAGCCAAAACATATGTTGACTTGCAAATACATACAACAAAATTTGAACAAGTGTGCATGCACACATTTATCTCTTCCGCAGGGTAAGAAATGCGCAAACTGTATCGAAGGCAACGTCAATAGCCACAACCGTAATTTCTCTTTTGCGTCCCAATTGCATGAATATACATACATACATATGTAGTAGGTCTTGCTGGCCCCCAACTCTTTATTTCTTCTTTACGAATATTACAAACGCCACCTTTTGTCTACGTAAAATACAGCTTATGTACATATAAAAGGGCCTAGCTGACATTTTTTCGAAATATGAGTTTCCGCATTTTTAAGTAGCTTATACTCAAACATATTTTCCTTGAAAATTTTAGGGACAAAACTTAAGACCTAATGATTGTATCAGGCCTTTTAAGAGCCCTATGCCCATAAATGAATGTGCCGGAAATTAGGGTTCTTACTTATATATAGATATGTACGTACAAGAATATCGTACATTCTACATATATTTTTTAACAACTTAAGTTTAGTTCTGCATCCGCCAATTGGTACAACAACAACGAAGTTACAAAACAAAAATAACGAAGTTACTTTATTGACGCATTGCTATGAAAGAGTAACTTTTTAACAGTGAGATTTGGCTAACTTTCAATTTTTTTTACTGAAACCGGTGGTGAACATTCAAAAAACAGCCCCAAGAGGGGCATAACATGAATGAAAAAAACGGAATTGATTTGAAGTCAAGCGGAGTAGAGGACTTGATTTCAAATATTTTTAAAAACCGGACTAAATCTAATCTGATTTTAGCTGAGTCCAAACAATAGTAGGGAACGAATTCTTTACATTTTAACGCTAATGACCCACAGATGGCGGGAAAACACAGGGTTGTATCAGACTTTCGACGTGGTTTCGAGTTGGTTAGCTTTTAACCACTCAGTGAAATGGTTAAAGCTGAAATTAGTCAAGAACGTAAACCTACCGGTACGTAAA